TACAACCCAGTAACTACAGCTTTATTTTCAAGATAACAGTAATAAAGACGTACTTCAGCGAAACTTTTGAAGATTCGATAAAGGCATTTAGTAAAATGTCATTTAAGAAAAAACAGCGCCTTCGCAACGGAATCCTGGAGCATCTCCCCTCCGGAGCCCTTGACAAGGACTATACTCTCCGGATCGAAATGCTGAACGCGAACCCGAGGCGGCGAGCCGGGCACTGCAGCTCTGCCTCCCTGCAGCCGGCTCCCCCCGCGCCCTGCCTCACCGCGGCACCACCGACGCGCTTCCCGCTGAAAGCTTCCTTCAACCCCCGAGCGCGCCGCTGCCCGAGCGGTCACCGCACCCCCGCTCCGCAGCGCCGGGCGGGGACCGGGCGCCAACCCGACTCCCGGCGCAGCGGCACGGCGAGCGGAGCGCGTCCTGCCTGCCCGCCGCACGCAAGCCTAACCGCACGGCGGGGCGGAGCGGGGCCATCCTCGGCCCGCGGCCGCGCCGCCCTCCCCCCGCCAGGCCGCAGGGCCCGCCCCCGGGCCGCTCCCCGGCGCCAACTCCCGCCGCGGCCGGCCGGCCCGCCCGCCCCGCCACGGCCTGCGGAGCGAACACGCCGCAACCGGCCCCCGGGAACGCGCCCGCCCCGCTCTCCTCCTCGGCGCCAGCGCCCCGGGCCCGCCTCCGCCAGCGCCGGGCCTAGCCGGGGCCCGCGGATGCCCGCCCCGCCGCGGGGGCCTACACGGGAGCCCTCGTCCCCGGCCGCGGAGCTCCCCACTCGGCGCGGGGCGGCCCCCCGGCGGCCCCGGCGCCCCCCGGGGACTCACCGGAGCGGGGCCTGCGCGGCGCAGCTCGGGCCCAAGCAGCGACGGCAAATGGCGCGCGCTCCTCCTTCTCCTCATGGACGGCGGCGCGACCCCGGCAACACGCGGGGTTTCCCGGAACTGTTTCCAGGGACCACTGCTTCACCCACTCAGCGGCTCACGCCCTGGACGAGCACCCGGCGGAGCCAATAGGACAGGGGAGGCGGGACGCGCGGATCCTCCCTGCCACCAATGAGCGGGAGGCTCCGTAACCAATCGCGCAGCTCCTTCAACCCGGCGCGCCGGTAGGGCCGGGGCTGGGGGGATTTAAAGGGGCAGCGCCGCCCGCGGGGCCTTGAACAAAGGGAGCGAGAGGAGCACGCAGGGGCCGCCCCCGCCCCGCCTCTGCCGTGCGGAGCGAGCGCGGGCACCGCCCCTGCGGCCGGGCGGAGCCGGGGACGGAGCCCGCGGCAGTGCGCCCGGTCCCTGCTCCGGTTCCCCCCGGCAGCCACCCGCCGGTGCAGGGGTGCGGGCCCGGCCTCTCCCCGGGAGCTGCTGTGGGGCGGCCGAGGCCGGTCTCGGTTAGGGCTGGAGGGAACGGCAAGAGCTGCGGTTCAGGCTCCTCGCTCCATCGCTGCTGTTGTGTGAGTGCTACGCGGCTCCGTGCAGGTGCCCGGGTGGGCCGGGTTGGCTCTCGCTGCCACAGCTGCGCACCTCCGGAGGAAACCGGGTTGTTGGCACCGGCGGGGCTGCGCTGCCTTGTCTCCTGGTCTTGCCGCTGCATAACGTGAGAGCCAAGGAATGGGTTGGGGCTGGCTGCATCCCGGAGCCCTGTGTCCAACAGCGTCTGCGTGCGGCTGGATTGGTCCCTCCTGGGTCTGGTGAAGAGCTAAAAGCTGCAGCTTTCTACTTTTTAACCACGAAATGACACTTCCGGAGACTCTTGTTTACTGCGCAGCTTACCAAGGATGTGTGCTTCCATCCCTGCTCATGTGGAGCATGGGTACACTTTGTGTGCACTGCCTGATGGAAATAGAGTGCTCTGTTACAGAAGCCGAGGCAAACTCACCTGGGGTGGAGTGCTCTTTCTTGCTGGACCTGCCCGGTGGGAGCCGTGCTGCCTCTCGTGTGGATTGTGACTTCCTTCCATGGGTCTGGCAGTAGTGACGGCTCTTCTGTGCTGGATGTGGGGTCTAACCTAGTGTGAAGGAGGTGGGATTGTTCCCTCACAGGGAAGAACTTGTGCCCAAGAGCTCATATTGTTCTAATTAGATGCACAATACCCAGGACCTGCGCAAAGACACCCACAGGAGGAGTTTGTTCTGCATCTAATGATGTAATTGTTTTTATTTAACACAGTAATTTATTGCTCTGCACTGAAAACAAGGATGTTCCCCTCATAGGGGAGAACGTCTGCCTAATGCCTGGTCTAAATCTACCCTCTATTTGCATAGCAAACAGCAGAAACTAAGCACCTGGGGTAAAAGCTTGTGCTTACTGCAGCAATAATCACAAGCTTGGGTTTAGCTGAAAATAAGTTCATTTTTCCTGCTGCCGCGTTGGCCATGATCTATGTGGACAAGGTATGGACAGAGGGTCCAGGGGTAAGGACAGATGTACATCTCATTGAAACATAAAGGCCACTCCAAGAAATGAAGCTTTGTCTTCATGAATTTGGGCTGTTGGTGGCTGTTGAGGGTTTGGATGTTGTGTACACAGGGTCAGTCCAACCCTGAGGAACAATGAATGACCAGGATGCACTAGTGCTGGCAGGGAGGAGAGAAGAATCCCTTCCTTTGTGTACCCCTGTGCCTGTGGGATGGAGGGATGGCTGGTCATGCCATCAGCCATTCCAGAGCAATTGAGGAGACCCAGAACAATAAGCCCTCTATGGCCTCTTCTCTGAGTGAAGCACCATCCTTGCAGCCTTACCAGTTTCAAGCTTCAGGTTTTGGTTGCTCTGCTCAGAATTGCCTTATCACACAGATGACGTGGCATGGACTTGTCACTGGTGCCATCAGTTACTCTGCAGATGAGATGTACCTGCAATGTTCCTCAGTGAGAGCGGCCCAAGAGGAGCAGCTGGTTGGGGTTGTACCAGGTACCAGCCACTCACCACAGCACTTTCTGCAAAGGCTCTCTTCAAACAGAGCCCTTCAGCCACTTGCCTCCATCCAGCTCCAGTGTAGCACCTCACAAGAGGCAGATTTACCAGTGGGAGGAACTAAACCTGTTCAGGCACTTGTGGATGTGCCAGTGCAGGGCTGGACAGGGAGGCTGCTTTCTCACCTGCCCATTCTTGTTACACAAAATCCCCTTCTTGTCAGTCTTGGTGCAGTAAGGCCACACACACATTCCAGTAGCTATCCACTGTATGTATCAAGATAGATTTCTTATATTAAATCACAAAAGTGACTGAATTTGCATAACCTGCCCGAGGGGAGACTGAGCTGAGCTCTTAGGCAGAAGCTCTTCCCTGTGAGGGTGCTGAGGCGCTGGCACAGGGTGCCCAGAGAAGCTGTGGCTGCCCCATCCCTGGCAGTGCTCAAGGCCAGGTTGGACACAGGAGCTTGGAGCAAGCTACTCTAGTGGAAGGTATCCCTGCCCATGGCAGGGGCTTGGAACCGGATGCACTTTTAAGGTCCCTTCCAGCCCAAACCAGTCTGTAACTATGATTCTATGAACATTAATCTTAATGCATCCTTCTTTGAAAAGGGACTTACAAAAGGAACATTGAGATCTAGACAGAAAAAACCCACTGCCAGGTGATTAACTCCACAAAAAAGAACCTTCAAGTGGCAGTCAGGATCTTGTCTGTCTTGCTCAGGAATCCATACCACCACATGTGAAATCACTGGAACTTACAAGGGTTAAGTTCCCCTCCCAGTTTATGACACTAAATGCCAAGCATAACAAAAGAACCTTATACCCTGCAAGTTTAGTGCAGTCACCTCCCTTTACACCCAGTGACAGCTTCCTTTAGACAACACAATTCCTGTGTGAAGGGGTCTCTACATAAGTACCATTTCCCCCACCTTTTCTTACAGTTTTACCTATAAAGTTATCACACCAAGTGTAAGTGGTGACTCCCCTGCAGTAACTAATGAAAGCAGGGCAGGTCTGTCCAGGCCTACAGCATTACTTTACAATAACACTTAAAGTTAACACCAAGACAGTTGATTATTTCTAAGCAGTTACTGAACAGCAAAGAGACCGAGCAATTTATTTAACATAGTTGCAGGCCACAGTATAATAGGAATAATTTGGATTATGTTGGCCAAAGCATACATACAGTCTTCAACGCTGCTTTACACCACAAACAGCATTGGCCGTGTACATTCAGTGTCGGCTCAGTTATCGTGCTTAAGCTCCTGGATCTTATGCTTATGACGCTCGATTTCTTTCTGCAGCCGCTCTATCTCTTTCTGGTGGTGATCAATCTCCTCCTCATGGTGTTTCCGCAGGGCAGAGATCTGCTCCCTCTCTTTCTCCCTGCAAGGAAAGGGCGGCTCACGCTGCAACACCCGCACCCGGCGGTGGCTGCGGGCGAGGCTGGGGCGGGGGGCCGCTCACCTGAAATACCGCTCCTCCTCCGCCGCCTGCTTCTTCCCGAAGGCCCCGCCGGCCTCACGGATGGCGCCGCCGCCGCCGCCGCCCTTCCCGGCGCCTTTGCCCAGCTCACCCAGCTGCGGGGAAAGAGGCGGTGAGCGGGGCACAGCCGGGAGGAGAGCACCGGGGGCACGGGCAGCTCCCCCCGCCCGCCGCGCCCACCTGGTCAGCGCCCGAGCCCGAGCTCCAGCGCTGCTGCTGCAGTACCAGGGCCCCGCGCAGGCCGCCCCGCACCGCCGCTACCGCCGCCATCGCCCGCTGCCCTTGGAGCGCCGCGCGGACGGGTCCCGCCCCCCCGCAGCTGCGTCACGGCGCGCGCCTGCGCAGACACCGCCTCCTACCTCCCGCCTGCGGTGCTGCGGGCCGGAACGGAGCGGAGCTCACGGAACGCGGCCGGGAAGCGGCAGCTCCCCCTGGGCAGGGCCAGGCCGGACCGTGCCAGGCAGCTCCGTCCGCTCAGGAGACACCGCAGGGAGTGAGCAGAGCGGGAGCCTGCCGCTAAAAGCGCTGCGCCGCGGTCACGTGCCGAGGGCTTCCCGCCCCTTCCCTTGCCGGCTTTAGCGCCGTGGTCACGTGCGGTCGCGTTACGTTGCGTTACGTTGCGTCACGTGGAGGTGGCGGCAATGGCGGCGGCGGCGAGGGAGCCCGGGGCGGGCGGCGCCGCGGAGGAGGCGTTCCTCACCTTCTACAGCGAGGTACCGGGACCCGCGCCGCGGCCTCAGCCCACCCCTTACCCCCCCATCCCCGACACCCGGCCTGCCCTGCCCCGCCGCACCGAGCGGGGCCCTGGCTGTGCTGCGGCGGGCCTTTAGGCCGCGGGAGGGCGGGCGGGGAGCGAATGGTGGGTGGAGGAAAGAGAAGCGGGCGAGGGGCCGGGGCCAGCGGGTGCGCGCTCGGCCCGGGCAGGGCTGGCGTTGGAGGCGGAACTGTTCCCGCTTCCTTCCGGAGCAGCCCCTAGGGTGACCGGGGACGGAACCGAGCACTCAGTGCCCATGGGAGCCCTCCCGGAGCTTTCCTCCACTGTGCGCCGCTGCTCGGCCTTTTACCGGGACGAGCGCTTCTTTCAGCTCCGGCTCTTTGGGCAGCGCTGGGAGGTGTTCGCTGAGCCCGCCCGCAGAAGGTGGTGCCGGTTGTTGGGTGCTTGTTTGTCTAAGTAAAGATGAACGTTAAGTGTTAAAAGCACGGTTTGTCTTGGTAATGATGCAACCTGAACATAGCTATATAAGCTGTGTCAGAGTGGACTTGGGTACGTGTGCCGGTGTCACTTAAGGTGTTCAATAGGATATATCCCACTACAGTGGGTTGAAAGAAGTGGTGCAGTAGGTTTCCAAGGAATCGGGATGACAGTGGTGGTGTAGGAGCAAAGTGAAGGAAAAAGCTGCAGCTGTAATAGAAACAGGCACAAGTGCTTTTGTACAGTTAAAATATAACATCAAAAACACTGTCATGCTGTAAAATTGGCTAAAAACTGCTCTGTTGGTGTGTGAGTAAAATACACGCTTCAGATGTGCAAGGGAGTTGTGATTTGTAGTACACAACAGTGATGACTGATGTAGTAATCACCGGGGAAGGCAGGTAAGCACCTTGTGATGGTCAGTTGATGTCAGCCTCTCTTGTTCTTCAGGTAAAGCAAATTGAAAAACGAGACTCGGTTTTAACATCCAAAAACCAAATCGACCGGCTCACCCGACCTGGATCTTCCTATTTCAACCTGAACCCTTTTGAGGTTGGTTTGAATGCTTTATCCTCCCTTCTGAGTCAGTGTTCCGACTTCCCTGGTTCCTGGGTACTTATTTCAGTAGAAAGACTGAAGATAAAGACAGGAAAAAGTTCTCTGGATGTAGGTTACAGCACAGGAGCTTTCAGAAGGCAGGAGGATGATGTGTGTGTTTGTCACTGGTTTATATCGGGTGCAAATTATACTCTTTTGACCCATTTCCCTTGTGCAACAGCACAGGAAGGTTTGGGAGATCAGTGCTAGGGAGCCTGAATGAGAACACAGCAGCTACAGGTGGCATGTTCTGATCCCTCTTGACTCAGCACTTCCAGTTCTACCTTTTGTTTTGGATGCTCGTAGGATAAGAGGAGGAGTCTGGCTGCTCACACTAGTGAGCAACCTTTGAGGAGTCACTGGAACAAAGGTAATTCCCTTGCACATCACACTCTTTGATTCCAGTTGCAGTCAGTGACAAAGTCTTAATGAGTATGAAAGCCTGAGGAAGAGAGTAAATAAACCAACCTGGTGTTCATCTGGAACTGGCTTTTCCTACGTGTATTCCTGCTTGAGATCATCCTCATCTGCCTTCTTAAAACCTCAGGTGCTTTGTAGTCCCAATTCAGGGCTGCTCAGCCACATCAGTCAGCACATTCACCTTGACCATGTCCAGTTCTGTGTAGATCTTAGTACACAACCTGGGGGGTAAATCAGGAAAGCCATTTAGAAGTAGACTGTAGTTTTTGTTCATGTCATACCAGCATGTGTTTGCATTGAGCAGGCTCGCTTGTTGCATAGGACTTCAGTAAATAAATTCACAAAAGAGCTCCAAAACTGCCCCATCCCTAAAGATCTGTGGACAAAGATCTGAGCTCATTCATGGAGACCCAACAGTAAAACTCTCCTGTCTTCTTTCAAAATGATAAAATGAAGAAGTTCTGCCCAAAGTTGTACGTTTTCTGCCCAAAATGTCAGTTGTGAATAAGCTGACAGGATCAAAGCCACCGTGTGCTTCAGTTTCTGCCAAACTAAGCATTGCTATAGGACTAGTTAGAGGCTTAGCCCAATTGGCTATTTAGGGATGGCAGCTGTCCACATGAGACTTGAGTGTGGAAAGGACACTGGCATAGTCAGAGGAGTCTGTGCACACACAAGCAGTATCCCAGATGTGGTATCTCTGATTGAAAATCTGGTTTACTGGATGAAAACTCAGGTCCTGAAGCAGTTCCCTGATGGGGGGAGCTTTCTGGTATTGAGTCTGTGCACCAGGAGCCAGGTGTTCAGAGCTTGCTCTCAGAACATGAAACATGGGGAATATCATCAAACCTATGCTCTTATGGTCTCTTTTAGGTCCTGCAGATGGATCCTGAAGCCACAGATGAAGAGATAAAGAAAAGATTCCGGCAGGTATTTGGCTTTTGCACTTGGAACCTCTGGAAGGAAACTTGAAGCTCTGTAGAGATTATAGTGCAGCTGTGCCTGGGGACAAGGCAGATGGTGGTAAAGCTGTGTCTGGGTAGAGGAGTAGCCGTTTTGGGAAGAAGTGCCTAAAACAGTGTTTGTATGAACAAGAGGAGAGCTGCAGAAGCATCCCTTTGCCTGTGAAGTGTGTGGTGGGGCTATTGCAAACTGATCTGCCCATGTATAACCAGATTATTGAACTTCAGCTCAAAGAGAAGGTCAGGATCTCTTGTAAGAGCTGGCAAAAGGTATTTTTCTCAAATACATGGATTTGGATCCAGAAGCATATTTGCTTTGAGGTTTCTTTAAGAATTTCAGTGGTCAGTTTTGGTGGCTGCATTACCTGGAACAGGTAGAAACAGGGAGAACGGAATGGAATTGTGTATTGATGAGATCTACCACCTCAATAGGGAGTGTGGAACAGCTAACAGGAGGAAAAAGACATTGGCATAGCAAATCATGGAGTAAATGAGCAGCATGCTGCTGTTTAGTACCAGAAGCAAACCTTTGCACTCTGAACTAGAAAGTGCCATCTGTAGGCTTCAGGAAGTCATCACTTTGCATTCTTCAGCACTGCTGCAATGTCAGTTGCCACACTGTGGCTGGTTTTGAACCAGGAAAGATGCAGACAAACTTGAGAGGCCACACAGCAACAGCAAAACTCAGGAGTCTGGAAAACAAGCCATATGGAGAAGGTTTGAAGAGGAAGATAGAGGATGTGCTTTCCAGCCCAGTTAGGATGCCCTAAGGATTGTAGTGAGCAGTGTCCTGCCTCTCTCTCTCCTGGATAGAGAGTACAGGAAGGAGTTTTCTTGGCTTTCAGTAAAGGAGCCTAAGGAAAAGCTTACCCACTCTTTTAAGCAGATATTTGAACAGCCTTGGGGGTACCAGAGACCTTCTTAGGATGCTGATTTAAAGGTTAACTTGGGTTGAGGGTGATCTGTGTAGGTTTGTTTCTTCTCAAGACCAAGGATACGAGATTTGGGTGACCAAAGGGTTCCTATCAGCCCCAGGCACTGTAGCTGAAGGATGTTGATGTTGTGCACATCCCAGACAGCCTGTTTATTATAGGAATTGTGTTTGATTTATAAGCTTTTACTGATGCATACTGGTACGTGTTGTCAACTGGCTTGTCTGTATACAAAGGAACGTGATCCCCTGTGATTCCTTCTATGTCAGACTATTCCCTCATCCCACAGAAATCTCTGAAACCCTCTCCCATCTTTTACAATGATCTCGATAGCAGGATCCTTTCTCTTGCAGTTGTCAATATTGGTGCATCCAGACAAAAACCAAGATGATGCAGATAGAGCTCAGAAGGCGTTTGAAGGTAATGCTCTCCCCCTTTCCTCGGGCTGCTGTACAGCAGTAGCTGAACAGCTATTTCTCTGTAGCTGGTTTCAGGGTTTATCAGGGGTGGAGGCCCTACTGAGGGGCAGAACTGCTGTAGAGGCTCTTTACACGAGGCAGGAGCCGAGGTGTGGGGTGGCATTTCAGCACAAAGCGTCACTAGGTGGCGATAATGGCATTGTCAGCTGGCACCGGGGACAGCCGCGTCCCTGGCTCTTCGAGGTTGTGCAAGAGAAACTGTTTAATCCGGGCATTAGATGTTATTTCAAGACCATATGGTAGAAGTAATGCCATGGGTTTAGGTGTACACTTTGCATTATGCACCTTAAACTTACATAATGCCCTAGGACTATATCACAGGACTGATACTTTCACCCTGCCAACTCCAAAGGTGTGTGACTGTTTCTGTCACTACCGTACCCCAAAACTCACTTAATGCTGATGTCACATACCCAGATGTATTTAAAGAAAGCCACACACAAAACGAGACCCCCCAAAACTCACTTAATGCTGATGTCACATACCCAGATGTATTCAAAGAAAGCCACACACAAAACGAGACCCCCCAGATTCTAAGAGGCAAAAGTTGTATGGTCAAGAAGTAGCAGTCTTGTGGTGCTTTGTGAATGGGATTACTGGTGCTATTAATGTTGATGCTTTTTGGTAGCTGTAGATAAAGCGTACAAGTTGCTGCTAGATCAGGAGCAGAAGAAGAGGGCCTTGGATGTGATCCAGGCAGGAAAAGAATATGTGGAACACACTGTAAGTATTCCATAGGAACATCCAGGAGTGGGGGTGAGGGGTAACCAGTCATTTCTCATTTACTGTTTGGTACATTAGGCCATTAAAAGATGAGCTGAGCAAAACCGTGCAGGTGGCCTCTGCGCTCTTCCTGGCATGAACAAAACGTGCTTTGTCCAAGACTGCTGTTGAGCTCAGTGCAAGATAATGCAGTGAAATTCAGTACCTGAAATAATCAGGTCAGACCACAGGATCTGACCTACATATGGGTTTCTTTTCAGGTCTGTAAATGGATGATGCAGTTCAGATGTCTGTAGGTGGAAGAAAATAAGTGGTGACAGCAAGAGAAGTTGGGGGGAAATGACCTATAAGATAAGAAAAGGAGCTTGGATTGCATTAGCCAAGAAGTTAGTTGAGTGACGTGGGTGGACTAAAACACAACAAGCTTGAGAAGGCAGGTGATATGGGAGCAGCCAGATACTCTAAACCAAGGAACACTTTATTTTCTGCTTGTTAGTCTTTCGACTATTACAAAGCAAAAGAGCCTTCCTCCTGGTTTGGATGGTGTGTATTGGGTATAAAAATAACTTAAGAACAAAGCCCACCAGAGGGATTGGGTTGAATAAATAGTGTCTGACGTAGTATTTTTAAGCCTACAGTTCATGTGGTAGTGATCTCATATGTGTTTGTCTGGATCTCGGACCAGGAGGTTTTGGTCAAAAATAAAACATTGATCCACATCAAGAAATCAGTGTCATCCAGAGAGCTTCCCACACAGTGGAGCAGGGATGCAGAACTACTTGGGCACGGTTCTGTAAGCCCTATAAAATCTTTTGTCTCTCACTTTTGTTCTTAATCTGTAGGTGAAAGAAAAAAAGAAGCAGTTGAAGAAGGATGGGAAACCAGCCACTGTAGAGGAGGATGATCCTGAAGTTGTAAGTCATTTACTGGGGAGGACAAAATCTGTTTCGAGAGTACCATGTGTTGGGTAATACCTGTGTATGTTAGAAAATAATGTAACTGTAGTGTAAAGAGTAAATCTATCCTGAGATTACATAGATCAAAATACCGTGTTCTTTGGAGCAAGTCTTCATGCCTTGGGCACCATGCTGTCTTTTTGTGTTGAATTTCTCGTATTGTGAATGCAGGAACTGTGGTGTTCTTGCTGCCAGTATAGAACCACTACAGTGAGTCTAAATGTGCTGTTAGTGGTGTTTTGCAGTAAGAGCTGTTTTGGCTGTTTCTTCTAAATAGCATTTGAGGATAGATGTGCTGTTAGGCCACAAATCACTTTTCATGTAAAAGGCATGACATAAAACCTAGTTGTTCTTACCTGAGTTCTAGTCTGAAAAGTTATCCTAGAGGTTTGAACAGAATGACGGATGATTATCGAACAGTGACAGCACTGGTCACCATTGTCATCTTTCTCTTTTCCCTCTTCATTTCACCACAGTAACCCCATCACAATTGTATTTCCCATTGATTTTTAGAAATCTCTTGCTGTTCTTTAATAATGAAGTTTAAGTATACTGATAGTCCCTACTGGCAAGCCAGTGCCTTTCACACCCCATCAAGATGATCTGCTGGGAGGTTACTGAACAGTGACCGGTTTGCCTTTTTCATATCTCACTGCTACTGACTACTCTCAAGGCAGAATGTGGGGGTTTATGAGCATATAGTTCACCTTCTTTTTATGCTTCTTACATTCTTATGTAAAGCAGCCTTCTCTACCTGTGTTAGTGAGCATTATTTTAAGGCTGGGTTTGTGTTTTGCAGTTCAAACAAGCCGTATACAAGCAGACGATGAAGCTCTTTGCTGAACTGGAAATTAAGAGGAAAGAAAGAGAAGCAAAAGAAATGCATGAAAGGTATGAGCAGCATCCTGCTTGTGCAGTTCAGGCTCTTCCCCCTTCATGCTTCCTCAGGGAAAATAAGCAATCACAGAGTCTTGGAAAAGTCTTAAGTCTGGGAGGTAGTTGCAGGGCAGTGCTCTTGGTTGCAGATGAACATTCATTCTTGCCTTGCATGCTCAGGTGTTTATTCACTTCTCACAATGTGTGTTCTCAACACTTATAGAAACTTATCACTGCCTATAAAGGAGTCCAACTTGTTCTGCTGAGCAAGAGAAGCTGACTCCCTAGCTGAGTACGTGTGTGCTGTCAGTGGTGCCAAACCGCCGTCTCTGCTCCCTGTTCTCCCATGCTCTTTGCTGTCTTAGAGGGGTGTATTTGTCTCTTCTGATCTGGGAAGCGCTTTAATCTGCCAAGAAACCAGAAGAGCTGCCCAAGGTGTTCTGAAAGCAATTCTGTGTTTCTTTAAAGCAGCCGTTGTGGGTTCAGACCTTCTTTGTGGTTTCCCTTCCAGGAAGCGGCAGAGGGAAGAGGAAATAGAGGCACAAGAGAAAGCTAAACGAGAGCGAGAATGGCAGAAGAACTTTGAGGTAATCAGCCAGGGAGGGGAGAAAAGAGTGCACCAGAGACCTTTCCTCATTGTGTCTTTGTGTCGAAGCCTGGGGCAAGGAGAGGGAGAGAAGGCAGATGTTTCCCTTCTCTTTTCTGACTTAAAGGTGCAGCACAAGGGGAGCCATCTCAAGGATGTGAGACCAGAGTAAGAAGATGGCACGTTCTGTGCTGCCAGATTAGGAGAATCCCCTGGAGATGAGGTTTCTTGTTTCCTTTGCACATCAGAGGACTCAGTAGGCTGTAGTGAGGACAGCAGAACCCAAGCTGCTCACTTCTGAAACAAGAAACCAGCATGGGGCTTACGCTGGTGCTTGTGGTGTAAACTCAGTTGTAGTTTCACTGTGATGTCTTCACAGTGTGTGTCCCAGCAGGCAGGGCGCTACATGTTGCATAAGTCCTACACCTGGGTCGGAGCAATCCCAGACACAGCTACAGGCTGGGCAGAGAATAGATTCAGAGCAGCCCAAGGAGAAGGACTTGGGGGTGCTGGTCAATGAGAAAATGAATATGAGCCAGCTTCAGTGTGCGCTTTCAGCCCAGGGCTGCATCAAAAGGAGCGTGACCAGCAGGTTGAAGGAGGTGATCCTGCCCCTTTATTCTGCTCTTGTGAGACCTCACCTGGAGCATTGTGTGCAGTTCTGGTGTCCTCAACATAAAAAGGACATGGATCTGTTGGAACAAGTCCAGAGGAGGACACGAGGATGATCAGGGGCTGGAGCACCTCCTCTATGAAGATTGGCTGAGAAAGTTGGGGCTGTTCAGCCTGGAGAAGAGAAGGCTGCGTGGAGACCTCAGAGCAGCTTCCAGTGTCTGAAGGGGGCCTATAGGGACGCTGGGGATGGACTCTTCATTAGGGACTGTAGTGATAGGACAAGGGGTAATGGGTTAAAACTGAAACAGGGGAAGTTTAGATTGGATATAAGGAGGAAATTCTTTCCTGTGAAGGTGCTGAGGCACTGGAATGGGTTGCCCAGGGAGGTTGTGAATGCTCCATCCCTGGCAGTGTTCAAGGCCAGGTTGGACGAGGCCTTGGGTGAGACGGTTTAGAGCGAGGTGTCCCTGCCCATGGCAGAGGGGTTGGAACTTGATGATCTTAAGGTCCTTTCCAGCCCGAACTATTCTATGATTCTATGCCATTGCTGTTATGATCTCTTATACATAGCAGACATTCTCTGGCTCTTGCACTTCTTAACTCTCTGCTTCCTCCCTGTTGTTCCCAGGAAAGCCGGGATGGTCGTGTGGACAGCTGGAGGAACTTCCAGGCCAATACAAAGGGGAAGAAAGAAAAGAAGAACAGGACCTTCCTGAGACCTCCCAAAGTAAAAATGGAGCAGCGGGAATGATCCTGGCACTGCCCAGGCGCAGCTCCTCAGTCCCCTCCCTGCTTTTAAGGACTCATTGGCACCTAGAGTAAGAATTGCTTTTCAGTTGAGTTTGGTTTCAGTATAATTATTGGTCGAAGTATTTTTTTGTACTCTGTCCATTTGAACTAGGGCCATAGTAGGAACTTGGCCAGGACCCCGCTACATGTAGAACACTTGGCTTAGGAGGTCCCCACCATTATTGCTGTCCTGTTTGTCTGCTGCCCTGTAACTCAATGTTTTGTACTTCACACACATTGTGTGTTTCACCACTTCCATTTCCAGTTTGAGAGCTGAACAAAGCACTGGAAATGCATCCGTGCCTTTCCAGGCATCATCTTTCTCAGCAAGTTCAGCCTCAGAAAGGTCCGAGCTGACTCTGGGAATCTGCTTCCAGCACTATGCAGTGCATCTGACCTGCAGTTTGAGTCCTGCAGCTCTCACTGAACTGGGTGGTGCTTGGAAAGACGCCTCCCCACACACCCCAAGATCTGATTTCCAGCCTAAAATCCCAGCTCTCAGGCTTAGACTTGTGTTAATCTCAGGCCAGCTGGTCCCTTCCTGTAAAGGAAAAATAACTTCTCTTGATTCATAGTTCAGTTGCAGTGGTCTGTATGTAAAATAAATTTTTACCCAAGTTACCAGGGCTTCTTTTTCTTGGAATTAACTCAAAACTACAAGTGAGAGGTGTGAATGGAGTGCTGGCCACTGGGGTGCGTGCTGCTGCTCTCCAGCAGGAACGTTGCCCTGGTAAGGACCTGCTCTCATCCCGAAGTCTGGTCTGATGGAACTGTGACTGTGAGAGTCCAAGTGGCACCAGGAGGACGGGGAGAGGATCTCCCTTCCCTGGATGCTCCCTGGGTGGATGCTGGTGCAGCAGAGTCCATGCTGAAAGCTGAGCTTGTTTGCTGTGCCTTTGGGGAGTAGTGATGGGTTGGGAGGATTTGAGCATCTGTTAGGAACGGAGCTCCCTAGAGCTATGGGCTGAGCTCAGACACAAGGGATTTGGTTTGTAAACTACTTTGGGTGTGCATGGAAAGCCTTTAAGGGATTCTCAACTGTTTAAAGGTGTTGAAAGTGGAGCGTGCTGTGGATTCACGTGTGCTTGGCAGACTCCTCTGGAGACCTTCCTGCAGACTCCTTCCATCTGTCCTAATGGTTATCCTCATATTTGGGTCCTGTGGGGAGCTGTTTCCATGAAGATACTGCTCTTCTTCCTCCTCGCTGCCATTAGCCAGCTCCTTTCACTTGGATGTGCTGTCTGTGTACCCCCATCTTTAAAGGAGCACAATCCTTTGTGCTGCTCTTTGTGTCTCAGGCAAGGTCTCTCTGGAAGGATTGGTTCTGGGCCCATACATCTTCTGGTGTCCCAACTCTTAAGTTCTGATTAACTGCCTTCTGTTTCTGCCTGCTGGGGAGGAGCAACACCATCGAGTTGTGTTACCACACAGATTGCTCAAGGAAAAGCAGCTCCCAAGGAAGGTTCTGCTGCCTGACAGGGCCCAGGACTGAGGCAATCTGCTGAAAGGTGGCTGGTGCTCTCCACTCACCTTTGTTCTTTTCTTCTCATGTACTGGTCTGTGTGGCCAGATGTAAAGTGAAACATCCTTCTCTAGTAAAATGAAGGTATTTTGGTGTTTTATACATTAACTAGTTCTTGGAGCAGTAGGATACAATTCCTACTTTCTGTGTAAGCAAAGGAATGCAGTTTCTTCACCTTATTTGGTGCTGAGGCGCTGGCACAGAGAAGCTGTGGCTGCCCCATCCCTGGCAGTGCTGAAGGCCAGGTTGGACACAGGGGCTTGGAGCAAGCTGCTCCAGTGGAAGGGGTCCCTGCCCGTGGCAGGGGGTTGGAACTGGATGAGCTTTGAGGTCCCTTCTAACCCAAACCAGTCTGGGATTCTGTTTGTCCTGCCATGCGTCACCTGCTAGTTAGATAACTTGCTAGTTAGATAGCTTGAGCTGACTGATGGAACTCACCTTGCAGTAGCTCTTCAGGTAGCTCAGGATGAGTCCTGTGAGAACTTGCAGTGTTTGTAAGACCCATGTCATGCTTCGGGGTCTGCTCCTTGGTGCTGTGTGTGTTTATGAGCCTTTGGGCCATGGTGAGGCCTGCCCCAGGCTCTCTTGCAGTGTCTGTGGCCAGAGCCCTGCAGCTCCCATGGGACCTGCTGTGTTGGTGTTGTTCCTTGCACCGGGTACGACTTGGTTGGGGAAGCAGAATGTGTAGCTTAGGACAAGGCTGTCTCATTCCCAGCTGAGCTGTTCCTGTTTCCTTTTCTTCTGCCCTGCCTCTGATACGCTTCTGTGTCTGATGATGCAGTGTTTGTCCTGTCTTATCTACTCAGCCAGGGGCTGTGGAGCTTCCCATCCATCAGCCAGGCTGCAGCAGCAGCAGGGAAATACCCAGCCTTTGCTGGAGGTTCCCTCTGTTCCACTGGAGGGGACCTGGGAAGCTTTGGTCCCTCAGCCCATGGTGGCTGTGCTGTGCCAGTGCTGCTCCAGTGCTGCTCCTCTCTTTTGAGCTGCACATGCTGGTTTAGGTGCAGCATTCTCAACCTCTGCTCAGAATGGCCACAGTAGAACCGGTGCAGCTTTGCTCTAGGGTGGGACATCGGGGTATGTGCTGCAGGTGGGTGTGTGGCAGGCTTAGATCATAGAATCATAGAATAGTTAGGGTTGGAAAGGACCTTAAGATCATCCAGTTCCAACCCCCTGCCATGGGCAGGGACACCTCACACTAAACCATCTCACCCAAGGCCTCATCCAACCTGGCCTTGAACACTGCCAGGGATGGCGCATTCACAACCTCCCTGGGCACCCATTCCAGTGCCTCACCACCCTAACAGGAAAGAATTTCCCCCTTATATCCAATCTAAACTTCCCCTGTTTCAGTTTGAACCCATTACCCCTTGTCCTACCACTACAGTCCCTAATGAAGAGTCCCTCCCCAGCATCCCTATAGGCCTAGAGGATGTGCCAACAGCCTCCTGCCAGCAGCACAGGTTGTGTACCTGCTCTGATGGGCTTTCACCACCCGGCTGTGACTGTGAGGCCCTTGGGGGCTGTCTCAGAAACCTCACAGAAACCAGTGCCAGTTCTTACCAGCAAAGAAAAGCCAACGTTTCCTTGTGGAGCAGCCCTTGTGTAACACGGGTGACTCAGGTGGATGTTATGCGGTACCACAGCAGGCAGCTGGGGAAATCCCACCTGAGAGCAGGGCAAGGGCAGAGCTGCAGGTCCCTGTGTGCCCACCCACCCTTTCTTCCCAGGCTGAAGGAGCACAACTGAGGGGGGTTACGTTGCTGCAGAGAGGGCAGGAAGCTGCCTGCCCCAGCCCAGAATGACTCACACAGCAAAGTGGTCTCATCCTGACGCTTTGCCCTGCGGCAGCCAAGGGGAAGTGTTCACCTCCAATGGCAGCAGTTGAACATGGACTCGATGCCATGCTGGCTCCCGGTCCCAGTGTCTGGAAAGAAACAAGGAGCCCAGAGGATGGATCTGCTGAAGGTGCTGACCCCCTTACCAAGCCCACACCACCCCTGCCTGGCTGGGGAATGCCCCTGCCCTGGAGCTGCTCTGGGTGGATGGAGCAGGATGCAGGATGAGCCCCTGGCCAGGACAGAGCCTCTGCTGCTCAAGGAAGGGCCTCAGGAGCCGGTGTCGAGCCCCAGGGCGCAGCCGGGGCAGGTCTGAGCCGTGTTGCAAGTGCCAAGAGGGAAGTGAGTCACATGGAGCGAGCGGAGCGGCACCCTCCTTCCGCACGAGCCTGCTCCCGGGCAGAGGCTCCGGTGGCTCCGCTTGCGGAGCGGGTGCTGTCCCCCCAAGGTAAGAGGCTCCTTCCCCTTTGCTTGCTCTCCCTCCCCGTGCTCCACAGGCTCCTTCTGCTCCTTGGTGTCTCAGGATGTGAGCTGGCTGCATGTGCCCCCCGGATCCATCAGAGCCATCTCATGGTCCCCATTGGGGTGTGCTGGGAAGACGCGTGTGTGCTCACTCCCTGCGCTCAGGAAGCGGGGATGAGTCAGGCTGGCACTGCCGTTGCCTTTGGGGCTGTGTGGATGGGGACTGCCCTCATCGAGGTCCCATCCCACCATGCTGGGTGGCAAGAACAGCTTTGGATGCTGCAGTGAGGTGAGGAGCCCTGCTTTAGACCTTCAGGTAACGCTCAGAGCCTCTCCAGGAGCCCTTATCCTGTTCATGCATGGCCCCTGCCCTTGCCCTCTGCCAGGAGGTAACTTAGAGTGGGAGCAGTGCCCTGGCCATGGGGGCTTTGTGAAGCCTTTCCCCTCCAGCAGAGCCACCCCAGCCGGGGCTGTGAACACAAGTCCTGATGCAGTGGTCCATGGAGCTCACATCCTGCCCTGTGTGGCGTGGTTGTTCCCTGCAGTTCAGGGGGATGGCACTGTCCTCAGCCTTTCCCCATTGCCATGGCTCTGGAAGTGCAGAATCCAGGCCCTCTTCAGCTTTTCATGTTTTAAATGCAACAGCTGAAAATGGAGCTGAAGAGGAAGGGAACTCCCCCAGTATTAAGAGGTGGACAAGCGCAAAGCATGGCAAGAGGCCGGTGTGCACAACGCAGGGGCTGCTCTGAGCATCTCAATAGCTTGAGGCCTCGCTGAGCATTGGAGGCAAAGGTGGGAAATGAGTGAGTTTGGGGAGCAGCGAGGGGGCACTGGGGAGCACGGGCCTGGGGTGAGGTGTCCTGCCTGCAGTGGGAGTGCTTGATTCAGAAAGCAGAGCTTGTGGAAGCACCGTGAGAGCTTCCAGCCCCGAGGGGTCCATCAGCACCGACCCTGCCTGGTCCCTGCTGGTGGCTCTGGGGGGTTCACAACTGCTCCCCTGTGCTGGCCGTGGGTAACGTGCGTGGGCCCGGTCCTGGTGGAGCTGTCACGGGGCTGAGCAGAGGAAGGATGGAGATTTCTGATGGGAGCTCCAAGCCAGCCCCAGGGCTCTCATTTCCTCTAAGCCCTTGGCTGCAGCAGGACAGGAGCTTTGTTTGGCCACTGCTGCAGCCTTTGCCAGCGCTCCTCTTCCCTCCGTGACCTGGCTGCTGTTCACAGAGGCTCAAACTGGCTGCCAGCCACCCTCATCAGCGTGCTTGTGTTTGGTTGGAACTGAAGCTCCCTCAAGCACCTGGGGCACAACTGCAGCTCTGTCCGGTCCATGGAGGCTCAGGTTCCTTGGTCCCTCCTTACAGCAGTGAACAGAGGAGGAGGAAGGAGGGAGGACACCACTGACAGAGCATCCTCCTCATGAGCTGGGGACATGGGGCACCGATGGTGGGGACAAGGTGGATGGCAGCAATGCTGCTCTGCCAAGATGCTGAGGCTGGCTGGCCTGGCCTCAGGCTCCTCAACACACGGGGCTGTGCAGCATCGGGGCAGCCAGAGCGGTGCTGGAAACCACCCTCTGTCCATGCTGGGGGCTGGATGTCCCCAGCCAGGGGCAGGCAAAGCCCCAGCACTGCTCTGGGCTTCTCTTCCTGGGTCAGCTCTGAGGGTGCATCCGGGCTTCCCCAGGACCATTCCACAGCAATCTGCTGCACCAGAGGACGTCCTGCTGCTCCAGGCCCAGCTCACCCAGAGGAGCACGGACACCACAGCCCTGAGCTGTGTCAGGGTCACCCTTGTCCCCCCCAGCAGCAGCAGCGTGGGGTGTCCAAGGGGCTCGGGAGCCACTTGAGCTGAGCAGGACCCAACCTCCCCCAGCACAAGGGAGCTGCAGGGACAGCACCAGCACCGTGTAGTGGGAGACCCTGCACTGCCTGCCCAGGGTGTGTGGAGCTGGGGACCAGGGGACAGGCAGGCTTTGGGTCTGTCAGGCCAAGGCATGGGGGTCCTGAAGGGTGAGATGAGGCTGCTGCAGTGATGCTACAGGTCTGTGTGGTGTCTCAGTGTCTGCACAAGGTCCTGGAGATAAAAAGGGGCTTGGGATGGCTGGATCCTGGGTCTGTGTAGCTCCAGCACAAGTGTAAGTGAGACTCTGTTAGGGAATGGCTCTGTCCATGGGATGTATGAGTTTCCTGGCACTTCCTTTCCTCGAAGTTATTAAGTGAAAGCTCCTGGCTTCTGTCATTCATAGCCTGGAAGAAGGATGCTCAGGTGCTGTTTAATCCCAGATCTAACCAGGGACACAGAGTGGATTCCTATTCTGCCTGTAGGAGGAAAATCCCAACGTTGCCCTCTTCCAGGATCACAAGGAGCAGCGATCCTTGGAGGAAGCAGCTTTAAGGGCTTTCCAGATCTTTGCTGTGGTTAATTGCCTTTCCTCTACGGCCTATTTTATTTCTCATTTCCTTTGAGCTGATGTCACCCGTTTCCTCTTCTCTAGTGACTCTGCAGTCATGCTGCAGTGGCTCCCATTCTGGTGTCCTGCTCTTGAGAGCTGCCTGCGGGGAGACCTCCCAGCCCCAGGTCAGAGAAAATAATGCTTGGAAGAAGATCAAGCATCCTCAGTAAAACACCCATCACCGCTCTACTGAAGCTGAAGATGGACAAATCGTGCTGAAGCCTTTCGACCCTGGTAAGCACAAAACCACACTTTATTAGTATAACTCCTGTTGGAATATACTACTGCTGATGGCATAGCTTGTGTTAGCATGGGTTTTGCACTATGCAGCCATAAGCATGTAAATCCTCATCGGGAGAGCATGGCCCAGGGTGCAGACTGGGAGCAGAGTCCGCTCCTGGAACCTCTGGTTCTGCATAGAGTGGAGATGATGCCATAAACCACTTGGGATTACTAGTTGGGGTACCGGGGTACTGGTAGTGACTTGGCCTTGGCTTGGGTTTGGGCTCAAGTTTCCAGGGATTTGGGTAAGGCAGAGCACAGGACCCTGCCCCTGCCCCGCTCTGACCACTGCACCCCTCCTCCTTTCTGCTGGCATGGAGAATATTGACCTGCTTTATGCAAAGGGAGAGGCTGAGTGAGATGCCCCAGACCATGCTCCAGCGTCTAGGGCTTAGGACAGCTCACAAGTACATGGGACACGTAAGCCTGAGGTCCTCCGACTGAAGAGGGAAGTGGGAATTGGGTACATTTAGGGGAATGGTGCCACACTTTCTTCTAGCTGCATTCTGTTGAGTATCTGGCTTAAAGCAGGAAGGGAAAAACAACTCTCCTGTGATTCCCTGGAGGACCTTGGCATTGGCACTGCACAGCCGCTGATGCAAACCTGATGAGCTCTACCAAGTGCTGTTGTGGCCAGGAGACACCACAGCCATCTCCCACAGCCCAGAGATTTCTGTCAGACTTAAAAGCAGAGCACGTCCTTGCATCCATCTCATGCAGCCCCATTGCTCAAACCCACCTGCAGCGCAGGGCTTTGCTTTTCCCTCTCCATGCCACAGGGTTTCAAACACAGAGCTCCCCATTAGTTTCTCTTGCCCCTGCACGGCCTCACCCCCTCCCTGAATGTCTGCGTCTGGTAGGTGCCCTCCCAAGCTCAGAGATGCAAACCTTTCCAACTGATAGATGTCTTTACCTTAGACGGTCCTGCAGTGGGTGGGAGAGTTGGGCTTAGACATTTATTTAAGGCCATGTTGTGACAATACATTTCAGACACAGATGAGGGTGTGGAAACATCCATGAGATGACCAATAGGACCTGCCTTGGGTCCTGCATGAATCAAAGGCAGAGCAGGGAATGGAGGCGATCCCCTGCCTCCTCTAGGACCTCTCCTCGGGGATGTGCCAGACCTGTGTGGCCAGACCCCGAGGTGTCATCGCCCAGAGCATCCTCACCTCCTGGGTACCACCCCTCAATTGGCTACTGCCCTCTAGAGCAAGGCAGGAGAGGACAGACACATCTGTCCCCTGGCCAACCGCTGGCACTGCCACAGGTACTTGTTAATTCACAGGGAACCTGGCTGAAAGATTAAAGGCACCCAAACCCCAGTGCTGCCTGGGAAGGTCCAAGGGCGCGTTGTGGATATCCTGAGCTGTTCTTAGGGGACCTGAGAGGGTTGAGGAGGGACAGGCTTGGCAGGATGACTCTTTTCTTCCTCTTTTAACAACTGGAAAGAGATAGTGAGGGGGTTGCAGAGTTTGCTGAAGAAAGGGAGAGCTTTCCTGAGCTAGAGCTGACTTCCCCATCTGCAGTGGGAAGTTGCAAATGGGGAACCAACACCACATGGGCATAGAGAAAGAGACTCAGCCCAGGGAGGGTGTGATGGGGGCTCATGCCACTATTGCTGGGGAAGATCCAGAGAGCTTTGAGGCAGGATGGTGACTTCTCAGGAGGCAGCAAGTCCTTGGGGGGGAATGCTATAGAGCTGGCAGAGCCAAGGCAAGTACATTGCAATGTGCAGCACCCATGAAGGAAGAGGGAGATAAAACCAAGCTGATCTGCAGGGTTGTGTCCATGAGAGGAGAGGTGAGTCCATCAGACAGGGAGCTGGCACCAGGGCCAAGAGCAGCTGTGTACGTCCCCTGGATGGCAAAAGGAGCAGAAGAATCTATACAAGAGGTTAGACCAAATCCATGTCAATCTGAGCCAGGAACACGTACAGGAGTGGTGATGCAGGAATTTGGTACATCCAAACTGGCCAAGATATGAAGAAATGCTAACTGAGGTGGGGATGTCTCTTTAGAGACAGTGTTTGTCAGCAGCCTCACCAGTGACACAGGAAATGCTGCTGCTGACACTTGCATTCGATACAGAAACAGGGGGAAAGGAGACAAATGGGTTTGATGGCAGCTCGAAATGACAGATAACAGCCAGGATTTGAAGAGAGAGAAACTGTAGGAAAAATCAGCGATGCACCACAAAGCATCACCCTTTAGGATTAGTAACTCATTTTGCACATCACTCAGTGAAAAAATTGGGAGGTCTGGTAGTCTATGAAGTGAATGTGAAATCATTGAGTCATAGAATGACTTTGGTTTGTGTTGAAGGGACCTTAAGGCTCCTCCAGCTCCAACCCCTGCCACAGGCAGGGACCCCTTCCACTGGAGCAGCTTGCTCCAAGCCCCTGTGTCCAACCTGGCCTTGAGCACTGCCAGGGATGGGGCAGCCACAGCTTCTCTGGGCACCCTGTGCCAGCGCCTCAGCACCCTCACAGGGAAGAGCTTCTGCCTAAGAGCTCAGCTCAGTCTCCCCTCGGGCAGCTTCAAGCCATTCCCCTTGGCCTGTCCCTACAGGCCCTTGTCCAAAGCCCCTCTCCAGGTTTCTTCGAGGCCCCCTTCAGGTGCTTGCAACTGAGAAAGTACAAGTGTAAGCAGGAAAATGTCAGGAAACACTAGAGAGCCACTCTGGAAATGGCACTAGCGGGACGTTTTCACCAGATATTGTTTCACTTCTGGAATTTCTAGGTTAAAACAAATGTAGGCAAGCTAGAAAGCATTAGGAACCCAAGCAGGGAAACAGGACCCAGAAAAACCTGTTTGCTTATAATCAAAGATTAAGAAGCTTCAGATGGAGCAGACTAACGTGATTTAAATGATCTTATCTAAGAACCCTCAAGCAGAAAAGCCTTTTGAGATTAGAGATGAGTGATCTGCGATCCTCATTGCAGCAAGCATGAAGACAAAAGCTCTCCTGTGTTCTGTTGTGTGTCCTGTCCCACAAGCAGAACACCTGGGGTCATAGAGAGCTCCAAAGGAAAGGTGGGGTTTGGCCCAGCAATGGCACCTATGAGCTCATTTTATGCTTTATGTTTTCAAGTGAGAAGAGAAGCTACAGCAGGGAATTCTACTTCAAACGTGCCCGCTCAGCACCACGATGTCTGGAAAGGATAAAGGCGGTGCTGAAGGTGGTGCTGATTCCTACATTTCCTGCCACATCGACTCAGAGTTTCGCTACAACCTCTTCACTGTTTTCTACAGCATCATCTTCATCCTGGGCTTTGCTGCCAACTGCTACGTGCTCTGGATTTTCAGCCGCATTTACCCCACCAAGAAACTCAATGAGATCAAGATATTCATGGTGAACCTGACAGTAGCTGACCTGCTCTTCTTGGTTACGATGCCAATGTGGATTGTTTACTATCACCACCATGGAGACTGGATCATGCCCGAGTTCCTGTGTAACGTGGCTGGCACTCTATTTTTTGTGAACACCTACTCTTCTGTTGCCTTCCTGATGGTCATCACATACAACCGGTACCAAGCTGTGACTAACCCCATTAAAGCTGCTCAGTTTACCACCCAGAGAAGGGGGATCTACTTATCAGCAGCTATCTGGATTATAATCGTGGGCAGCTCTTTGTATTACCTTTTTGACAACAATACTAACCAGGAGGAGATCAATTCTAGGAATTTCACGCGGTGCTTTGAGCGCTATGACTCTTCTGGCAGCGTTTCAGCTGTTCTCGCCATCCACGTCATCATCTGCATCCTCTTCTATATCATTTTCATCTTTATACTAGGCTGGAACATCACCATCATCAGGACCCTGTTCTCCAAACCAACGCAGCCACGGAAGAGTGCTCATGTCAAGCAAAGGGCACTCTGGATGGTGTGCACAGTGCTAGCTGTGTTCATCATCAGCTTTGTACCTCATCACCTGGTGCATCTGCCCTGGACCCTGACTGTTCTGGAGCAGTGGAAGAGAGAAAACTGCCAGTTGCGCCAACAACTCAATGATGCTCACCAGGTGACTTTGTGCCTCTTGAGTACAAACTGTGTGTTGGACCCTATCATTTACTGCTTCCTCACCAAGAAGTTCCAGAAGCATCTTTCAGAAAAACTGAAAAGCATGAAAGGGAGTCGCAAGTGCTCCAGGCAAACCACAGACACAGTGATTGAGGGCACCATTCACCAGGAGGATGCCATTAGGATCTAGCTCAGCCCCGTTCCGACTGCAGATTGAGGTGTGTGTGTTAGTCACACATCTTTTCTCAAGGAGAGGCACTGAGGGACCCAGCAGAGCACCAGGATCTTACATTTCCTTTTTCCCATTAGACAGAAGAATGATGCTCATTTCTTCTATCACATGCAACTGGCAGAACTGGAGCCTGTAGCAGTCTGGCAGAAAAGCACCTTCTGTCTGGGCTGATGTCCTCATGGGCACCCAGAACAGTTCAGATGGTCTGCTTTTATGTGAAAGTAATGTGTCACCAGGTCTGTGCACTGAAATCCCCCCCCAGCACCATCCCTGGTCCTTTGCCTGCTCAGCTCCCATGAAGAATCCAGCAGCAGAGACTTCTAAAAGACCTGGAAGAACAAAACTGCTCATCTCGAGTGACTCTTCTAAGCATGGCTCTGTGAAGACAGTCTGAGCTGGTTCTTGAGGGGCTAGAGGGGTTGTAGTCCAAGGAGCTCCTCAAATGCCTTCAAAGAAGAGATCTGCACCTCTGATCCCTTCTTGCCTACTTGCATGGTCTGGTGAGGACCAGCCCTGATGTGCCTGAGTGAAGCTATCACAGACTCTTGCCTTTGCTCCCAGCTCTTGGATCAGTCAAGTAAGAGGCCTAGTAGGCAAGAAAAGGGAGAGAAATAGGCAGTGCCTCAGCACCTAGCCCCAGATCAACATGAAGTCCAACGGGGACTATTGCCTGTCCTGGCTTCTTGTATGACAGTGGAACTGGCAAACCAGTGGCCTCTTGCACTCAGTTTAGTAACCCCGGGCTGCCTGCATGTGTCCGTGGAAATCCAATCTCACTTTGGAGGCTCCAGATAACAGAAGGTTATCGTCAGCATGGGCATTATGTTAAGAACAGCTTAAAATGCTTCAGGATCTTTGTTCTTGTTTATTTCAATTAGGGCTGCAGCAAGCAACTTTGCCTTATTCCATCCCCAAATCTTTCTGTGTCTGCTGTGAAGAAATGCAGCTGAGTAGCTCTTGGTATGCTACCACAAGCGAAGTACCAGGTCAGGTCATGGCCACCTTCTGAGTGCATGAGAGCAGGGCAGTGATGCAGCACACTTGACACACACATAACTCATGTACTGTGTCAAGGCTGGAGACCTCTCGCTCAGGGCTGCCTGCAGTCAATTGAGGCAAGGTGGTTTTCCAAGGGTGCTGAGCTCAGTTACCAATCATGAGACACTGCAGGTTCCTTTTCTAACCCATATTGCTCAATCCAGCACAGGAAATGGGGCAAGGAGGGGAACTTACTTGTTTGCACAACAGTTTTTGGTTCCCTAAACTACAGCAGAGAGTCTATTTGATGACGGGAGAAGTGCATTAACCTGTGGCACTGATTACTCACGGGCAAGGACAGCAGCCTGCCCACACACACCAGAGAACGTTAAAGATAAGCCCCAGTCTGTCCAAAGATAGGACTAACGTTTGCGTCAGACCTTGCCTACATTCAGTGGAGATACAAGTCCTTCAGAGGCATCTCCTGAAGATCCTCGGGCAGCTTATGCTGTCCTGTGCCAACAGGCAAAGGAAATGAGATGATTCTTTCTCTAATGCCATGTGCCAGGGCCAGCCAGGCACTGCAGACCCAGTGCCAGGCAGAGGAAAGAATCCGATCACATTGGATTCCAATGGCAATTCCAACTGGATTCCACAATTGGATCCAATTGCATTTCCCTCCTGGCCCTGGCCCCTGCTCCACTGATGGTCACCCATAAAGATGCCCCGCTGGTACCTCTTGGCAGAGAGAGAACTCCCTGTCCGTGCCCCTCAGCCCCGTGCAAAGCTTTGCCCTGCATCTGCAGTCACCCGAGCCACGGCACACAGCAAGGGGAATGATTCCTGGAATTCAAAAGCCCAATTCCTGCTTGCGGAAGGAATCTGCCTCTGGAGTTCTGCCCTCCCTGGGTAGCACCTTCTGGCTGAGGAGCTCCTGTAGGGGCAGAGGAGGAGCTTTGGAGCGCTCCTCTCCTCCCTTTGCCACCTGGTGAGCGCCTGCTTCACAGCCCCCAGAGCAGATGGAGCCTGGCAGTGCTTGGAGGAGACAGGAAGGGATTTTCCATGGGGATCCGGTAAATACAGGCTCTTCTCTTGATTCCTGGAAAGCCTGGAACAGAGCCTGCAGCTTAGGTTACAAGCTGTGGGTAAGCAGCATGCTGCACTCCACAGAAAACAGCGGTGAGGCCAGCGTGGGCTCAGAGAACAAAGACAAACCTGTACTAGAGTAAAAGGGTAAGTGGAGGAAGAAGCCCTGAGGATGCTTCAGGAGATGTGCAGCAATGCGTTCCTAAACACCAGCCTAAGCTCCTGCTTCTGTTCCTGGAATTCCTGTCAGTTTGACCGCGCTGTTGCATGGCTCTGCTTTACTTTGCAATAAAATGGATCCCAAGAAGTTATTTTAAATAAAGCATGGTCCTCAAGTGTTTTGTCCTTTAACTTCTCATCCTTCTGTGTTTATACCCAAGGGATGAGCCTTGGTACCGCGCTGCATCCCCAGTGTGAGCAGCAGCGTGGCTGGGGTGACCCCCCTGCAGTCCTGGTCCAGCTCTGGGGCAGCAGCACAAGAGGGATGTGGAGCTGTTGAAGTGAGCGCAGAGGAGGCCATGGGGATGCTGCGAGGGCTGGAGCAGCTCTGCTCTGGAGCCAGGCTGAGAGAGCTGGGCTGGGGCAGCCTGGAGAAGAGAAGACTCCTGAAGGGGAGACCTTAGAGCAGCTCCAGTGCCTAAAGGGGCTGCAGGAAACCTGGAGAGGGGCTTGGGACAAGGGCCTGTAGGGACAGGGCAAGGGGAATGGCTTGAACCTGCCCGAGGGGAGACTGAGCTGAGCTCTTAGGCAGAAGCTCTTCCCTGTGAGGGTGCTGAGGCGCTGGCACAGGGTGCCCAGAGAAGCTGTGGCTGCCCCATCCCTGCCACTGCACAGTGACTGATTTAAGGCTTTTCTGCTTGAGGGTTCTTAGATAAGATCATTTAAATCACGTTAGTCTGCTCCATCTGAAGCTTCCTAATATTTGACTATAAGCAAAGTGGTTTTCTGGGTCCTGTTTCCCTGCTTGGGTTCCTAATGCTTTCTAGCTTGCCTACATTTGTTTTAACCTAGAAATTCCAGAAGTGAAACAATATCTGGTGAAAACGTCCCACTAGTGCCATTTCCAGAGGCGCTCTCTAGTGTTTCCTGACATTTTCCTGCTTACACTTGTACTTCCTCAGTTGAAAACACCTGAAGGGGGCCTCGAAGAAACCCGGAAGAAGGGCTTTGGACAAGGGCCTGTAAGGCCAGGCCAAGGGGAATGGCTTGAACCTGCCCGAGGGGAGACTGAGCTGAGCTCTTAGGCAGAAGCTCTTCCCTGTGAGGGTGCTGAGGCGCTGGCACAGGGTGCCCAGAGAAGCTGTGGCTGCCCCATCCCTGCCTGCTTTAAGTGACCCCAACAGCGCTGAGGCACCAAACGCAGCCATCGAAGTGCCCAGACATGACCCCAGCACTGAACCCCCCCACCTCCGCCTCAGCCGGGACTCGCGGTCCCCCTGCCCGTGTCGTCACTTCCGGCGCCGAGCGCCGCTTCCGGGCGGCGCTGTGGAGAGGGAGGGGCTGCCATGTCCGCTGCGGGACGCGCTGCCGGGCCCGGCGCCGGAGCCGCTTCTCGGTAAGAGCCCGCTCCCGAGCACGGTTGTCCCCACGGTGAACGAGATGGGGCCCGAGGGCCGGGGCCCTCGGCCCCCATCTCGCCCACGGCGGGGACCACGCGTGTGCGGAGTGGACGCTCCCGCCCGCGGGCCTGTGGAGCCGATGAGGGCGCAGCGGGTCGGACCCGCGCTTCCACCTCCCGGTGGTACCGGTGGCCCAGTCGCTGCTGGGAGACAGCCAAGAGGTGCAGAAAGAGCCCCTTGGCGTAGCTGGGGTGATGAGGGGGTGCTTGTGCCCGGGAGAAAGAGCTCGGCCTGGTCCCCCCCCGTGGGGTGCCCATGGGGTTGTGGGGAGCCTTAGCACAGGCAGGTCCACTCAAACCGAGCAAGAAGGCACTTAAACATCTGTAGTGGTTTGTGTTGGATGGGGCTGGTTGCTCGTGCTGGAGGTTGTGCAGCCAAGTTCAAGAGGATGTGTTTGGTCTGAGTAGAGTCGTGACCGGTTGGGCTTCACAACCCGTGTTGGACCCAGCTGAGCTCTGCTGGATGTGCCTGGTTCTGGGAATGCTGTGCAGAGCTGCTGGAGCTTCGTGTGAAGCCAGCTCGAGCGTGGTATGGCTTATTTGGTTTCTGCTCTGCATGGTATGGCTAAATCGTTTCCAGACTGGAGCTGGTTCTTGGTGTGACATAGCTGTGGTAATTCATAGAATCACAGAGCAGTTGGAAAGGACCTTAGGATCATTCAGTTCCAGCCCCCTGCCACAGCCAGGGACACCTCCCGATAGACCATGTCCCCCAAGGCTCTGTGCAACCTGGCCTTGAACACTGCCAGGGATGGAGCATTCCCCCCTGGCAGTGTTTGAGGTGGTGAACGTTCATTGAGATGGAGCATTGTACAGAAAAGTCTTGGTGGACTTTGCTTTTGCTATGGAGCTAAGCTCCGCTTCTGTGAGGCACTCAGTCGGTAGTGTAATGACTTCCAGCTGGTAATTAAAAGCCAACTATACTGATTAAGATAAGATTTCTGTGATTACTGTTATCTGCCTGTGTTGTGTGGTTTCCTTCAGCTTTGTCTGTTGCAGATTAAGTTCACCATACTGAATGAGGTTTGTTGAGAATCACGGCAATTCACGTGCCTCAAGTCACTGTTTTTGTAATAAGCTACTTATAAAAGTGCATATAAAGATAGTGGCTTCCTGCAAAACTGCTGACCTCTAAGCCTGTACCCATCATGTTTAGGGGGTTTTCTTATCACCTTATGGTGTGATACTTCTTGCTTGTGCAGTTCTGCAGTCTCATTTTTGCCAGGCAAGCAGCAATACTCAGGCACCATCTGTGTCCAGCAGCCAGCAGAGGTGAAGGTCTCACTCTTTACAAGCCACTTGGATTGCTCTACAGAGTCTTCCTGCAGTGTTTGCCTCCTCCTTGGCTCTTCCATGCAACCCCACCAGTAGTTATGGCACCTCAATGAGTGTTTGGTTGTGCAGCAAATGGGATTGAAAGCCTGTCACTTGCCCATCACAACCGTGTGCAAGAGCTGTAATAACTCCCGAGTAACTGGTGACTTGGGAAGGACTTACAGCTTCTCAGAACTTTGCCCTTCAAATATTCAGACGTTGAATGGGTTTGGAATTGAATATGTTGGAGTACACTTTATTAAACGGGTTTCCATGTAGTGGGTTGGACTACCTCTGTGGCAGTTTAATGTATGATTTCCTAACTTTTGTGTATCAAAGGGTAGTTAGATATGACTAAACATAAAACTGGATAAACTATACTGCAATGTTTCAACTGAATGAAGAGCCTGGCAAGTGTGTTCCCCTGTGCAAGTCATGATGTGCCTAAAGATTCAAGGCTTAAAGCAGATGGTGAGTTGAGACCTATCTGCAGGAGCTGTCCACATCCCAACAGCTTCTTTTTGGGGTCTTGAAATTTGTGTTGCTTGTGTTTGGGTACTGACAGTGCTGTGTCTCTGGGAGTCCCTAACTGGACCACAGCATAAAGTATATGGCAGCTCTGAACTGTGGGGGATGGTTCATATTTCAATAACTATCATACCATCACCTGCAAGTCCATTCTGAAGATCCTACAAATCAGTTTCATACCAGTGTCCTTTCTGTGACAACTTTTTCCTATTCCATTTGTGAGAGTTTAAGAAAATCTTCATTAAACGTGATTGATTTTTAAGATGATCTGCACAGAAAAATGCTTATTCAGGACCAGGATCATTCGAAAAAGTAGGTGATTGTTCTTCAGAGCTGAAATTGGACTAGCAGCTGTCCTCAGAACCACGTGGAGGTATTCTCAGTCACCAGTGTCCCACCAGAGTTTCCTCATGCTGCTTTCTTGGTAAAGGCACCATTGTTCTCATCTACCTATTGGGGAAAATGCTGTCACAGAAAACAACCTGGTGCTTCAAGGCTTTGAAGTTTAACACAGAAATCTGGTCCCATTTGCAATCTGATGTGTTGTTCAATGCCTTTAGAATAGCTCTTGAGACTTCAGAAGCTGTTGCCTTGATTATTCTGTGCACTTAAACACCCATTTCCTGTCCATCCAGAACTTCTTGGGTGTTGGGAGGTGAGCTGGCCTTTCTACAAGATGAAGGGGCTTGGAGATAACTTGTTTCTTCATTACCTTGAAGTGTTACCTTGGTACTCTGGAGAACTGCAAAGACACCTGAGGTTTAATGCCAACCTACTGTAGTGTTTTGTCTTTTATTAGCTCTCATGCCAAGCCTGCTGCTATGTTGACCTTTCTGGATACGAGGAAAAATGAATTCTTCTGGCTTAAAGAAAAGGAAGTTACAAAATACTCACTTTTGCCTGACCTGAAGAAAGCAAAAAAAGTTCCCATGAGTCAATGGTACCACTGTTCTCAGCATTTCCAAACAAGATAGCAAAAGTAGTTTGACAGTTCTGTGAAATGTTAACCTGTGCAGTGGCTTTCCAGGAGCTAAATAATTCAACTTTATGCTGAATCAAAAACAGCACCAAGCTGTTGAGGGAGTTTCTCTGATCTTTGAGTGAAATGACCTTTTTTTGTGGATGCTGTTCTGAAAAGCACACATAACTGGTCTTTACTGAAAGTGTTCTTGCTGAGCTGCCACCAGAATCCAGTGTGTGTCATGCAGCTCCTTTTTACAGTTAATGGTAAAGCCTGAAGCAAGGAAGACACTGGGTACCTCCACCTTTCCAGTGTCCTTAGCCAGTATGTCATCTTCCATAGAGTCATGGAATGGTTTCGGTTGGAAAGGACCTTAAAGCTCATCCAGTTCCAGCCCCCTGCCATGGGCAGGGACCCCTTCCACTGGAGCAGCTTGCTCCAAGCCCCTGTGTCCGACCTGACCTTGAACACTGTCAGGGATGGGGCAGCCACAGCTTCTCGGAGCACCCTGTACCAGCGCCTCAGCACCCTTGGAGTAAAGACTATGGATGTATAGTATGTGCAGCTCTGGTCAATTTGTCTCAAGAGGGAGCAGAGAGAGGCAGAACAGTGACTGTAGGGGATGGAGCAGATGTCTTCTGGAGAGGTGTTGAAAGTTGGGACTCTGATTTGGAGAGAGATTGTAACCGAGGTGTACAAACTCCTGGAGGCAGGGGATGTGCTGAGAGCAGAGCTTTTCGCCCAATCCTGCTGTACCAGGACTGAGGGCACTCAGAAACTCACTGGAAATGGGTGTGAGACAGCCACGTTCTCCTTGTGACAGGTCATGAACTGCCCTGGGTGGCTGTGGGAGGCTCAGAGAGGGCCTGAACAGTGGGGAACAGGTCTGTGAGTGAGTGCTGGAGGACAAACAGGGATGTGGCTCCCAGTGGTGGTGGTGGGGGGGTGGTGGCCAGGCTCCCTTTATCACCACTGATGGCTTTTCCTGGAGGGACCATTTGTCTGCCCAGTGCTCCCAGTTGCCTCTGCCAGCAGGACTGATGCAGTGTGAAGCAAATGGTGCAGTCAGTCTGCTTGATGAAAAAGCAGCGGCTGTTACCAAGCAGCTGAGCATCAAATACCATCATTTAAACTGAGTTTGAACCCCAGTAAAATATCTCAACTATCCAGTACTTTAATTTTCGAGCAGGTTACTCTAACAACTGTTGTTGCTAAGACACAAATAGCTACAGATGTGCTCAGAACTGATGGCACTGTGATAAATACCATGGCTCCTCTAATGCAAAATAACAAAAGAAAGAAATTTGCTGGAGTCACAACCTTTTTTATAAAATCCTGGTGCAGGTTGAGAAACTGAAGCAGTTTCTCTAATAGAACTGTGGATTAATTTCCTGGTACTAGTTACATGACTTTTTGATATGTGTTTAGGGTGCTGAGGCGCTGGCACAGGGTGCCCAGAGAAGCTGTGGCTGCCCCATCCCTGCCAGTGCTCAAGGCCAGGTTGGACTGGGGAGCAAGCTGCTCTAGTGGAAGGTGACCCTGCCCATGGCAGGGTTTGGAACTGGATGAGCTTTAAGGTCCTTTCCAACCCAAACCAGGCTGGGATGCTATGATGGAGTTTTCTACTTTGCTTCCATTTGCATAAATTCCTGTGATGTGTTTTGTAGCTAAAAGGTTAATGGCAGTTTGTGCCATGTTAGCTCTAGCTAGAAGAGATTGCTGACTTCTTTCTGGGCTCAGTGGGAGTTGTTTTTCTCAAGTATGAAGTTGTTATTTCCAAATCTTCCTTTTGTGCAAACAGTTCTTTTCCCCATTAAAAAAATCCCTGCTGTGATTCAAAATCCAATTGAAAAGGATTGTGTAAGGGCTGGGCAGCCAGTGCGTGGTCTGTGTGAAGGGACTACCCAGAGCCGTGCTGGTGACAGCCCTTCAAGGATTCCTATTAATGAAACAGGCATTGCTTAGGGTAGGATGTATTTGTGCTACCACATGTTATGTCAGTAATTTTCTCACTTTATAAATACCTTTTTTAATCTTTTCATTTCCATTTTAAGATTATGACATTTTAATCAAACCCTGGTTTTCCATCCCATCAGGACTGTGCTTGTCATAGCCTCTCGTACCTTCCAAAATAGGACATCCCCTGCCTCCCCCCAAACTTTCCACAGAATCTTACAATCACAGAATGGTTTAGGTTGGAAAGGAGCTTAAGCTCATCCAGTTCCAACCCCCTGCCATGGGCAGGGCCTCATGACACTACACCATGTCACCCAAGGTTCTGTCCAACCTGGCCTTGAACACTGCCAGGGATGAGGCAGCCACAGCTTCTCTGGGCACCCTGTGCCAGCGCCTCAGCACCCTCGGAGTAAAGAAGGGAAGAGGGCCTGGAAGGGGAGCAGACAGCAAACCCACAGAGGTTTATCCTTTCCTATTCTCCACGGTATTTTGAGACTATCCATGTGTTGTGTGTGTGTATCTGGGGGTGTGAGATGTACAGAGGATAGCAGTTAAATCTTTGCTGGGAGATGCACTGCATTTGTTCCAATGGGAGATGAGCAGACTGGTGAGCAGCACAGCTTTCATTCATTAGCTCTATCCCATTTTCTTGGTTTTAAACGGCTGCTCTCTGCTGCTGGAAAAGGAACTGAGGAGAGAGCTGTGCTACAAAGGGGGTGGATGTAACAGGCAAAGCTTGAAGATGGATGTGAGAAGGAATTTTTCACAGTTGCTCTGAAGAGCAAGACTGTTGTCTGAGGAGTTGGCTGTTGTGTAAGAAAGTAGGGTTTGAAGTTAGAAACCTGAGTTCCTTTTCCCTCTTAACCTCATTTGCCTGTTCCAACACTGGAGTAACACACCTCTTCAGTTCCGCTTGGCTGTCAGGTACTGCATGTGCAGCCATAACAAGTATGACATTTTAAATGAACATGTGAATGCAGTGGGAAGGAAATCATGCACTGTGTTAGCTGCAGGAACTTGTGAGAGCAAGTGATTTGTCTTAAATATTTCATTCCTTAATGAAGGAGAGAAGCTGGATGAGCCCCTCCTCTCCTGCTCACCGCTGTCTCTTTGCACATCCCTGGGTTGCATGAGCTTCTTCAATGCTGTGATTCCCTTCTCTTTAAAGTATCTTTAAAGCTTTTGGAGTTTGTAGTCAGCCTCACCAGATAGAACTTTTTACTCACCCAGGCATCTATTTGCTCCCTCTTTCTGTTGCATCATTGTGATGGTACGACCTGATGAAGAACTTCCATTAACTTGTTTTTGCCTGAAGGAAGGAAAAATGCAGCTTTAGTGTAAAAACTGTTCAGTCCCTGACAGCTCCTTAAGGGGCTGGTTTATTGCACAGCCCAACTGGGAACCAAGCTGATGCTCTCATTTCGTGGCAGCTTTAATCAAGCTGTTTCAAAACAAACTGTGAGGTTCTTCCAGACTTCAGGGAATGCCTGGTTTTGCCAAACCCTCACGAGAGATCCCAGCAGGAGCACCCAGCATGCTGGCTCTCGCTGGAGTCACAGCTTTGCCTATGATGGATACCAAGTTTGAAGTATATCAGCAGCTTGGCCGGTGAAACGTTATCACAGTTGGATGTAGGAATGCTGAGATATGGAGGAGGATAAAACTGTGGTTCGAGGGGTTTCTATGCATTCGCCTGCTCACATCCTGGTGTGGGGGGCAGAGGTTGCTGCCGCCATGGGGAGATGGTCAGTAATGTTCTTTGCCTGAAGATTAGAACGTCAGTTATAAACCTGCAGAATAAAAAGCACTCAGTGCTGTGCAGTGCACAGCAATGTCACAGTGTGGATCTTTTCACTCTTTCTATTTATTTCTTTGAGTGTTTTTAATTAAATTGAAAACCAAAAAGGGGATCCACCACTTCCCACCGTGCCAAGTTCTGCTCTTCCCTAAATGAAGCGGTTTGTCACATGTGGGGTGGCACAGAGTAAAAGCACATTGCAAGGAAAAACCCAGCTCTGGCTGGGGGATGCCGTAGGTCGCTTTGGCTGCACTCTGATCCCATGTGCGTGGGATAGGTTAGCATGAAATGCTCTGCTGGAAGCATTAGACTCTTCTGCTGGTGCTTAATTCACATATTCATTGCTGTTCATGGTAAGGTGCTGGCCTTTGAGTAGAAAGGAGTGGTGATAACTGCATAGATGACATTATTATGCATATAAAGCGTTATAGCTACTGCTGCAAGAGGCAACTAAAAATGGTTTTGTAAATACTTTGACAACAAAGGGTGGCTAAGGGCACTCTCCAACCTTTATTGAATGTGGGGGGAAACATAGTGACAAAGAATGAGGAAAAGACTGCGGTACTTAATGCCTTCTTTCACTCTAAAGACCAGTTGTTCTTGGGATACCTGTCCCCCTGTGCAGGGAGACAGGGATGGGGAGTAGAATGAAGCCCCCATATGGTCAGTGACCTGCTACATCACTGAGACACACAGAGTGTAGGGCTGCATGGGGTCACCCCAAGGGTGCTGAGGGAGCTGGAGGTGCTCACCGAGCCACGTTCCATCACTGATCAGCAGTTATGGCTCACTCGGGAGGTCCCAGTTCACTGGAGGTTACCAAATGTGATGCCCATTTACAGGAAGTGCTGGAAGGAGGCAACTCCAGGCCTGTTAGCATGACCCCAGTGCCCCCTGCACTGGGCACTGGTGAGGCTGCACCTTGAATCCTGTGTTCAGCTCTGGGCCCCTCACCGCGAGAGACACATTGAGGTGCTGGGGCGGGGCCAGAGAAGGGCACTGGAGCTGGTGCAGGGCCTGGAGCACAAGTGTGATGGGGAAGGGCTGAGGGACCTGGGGGGTTCAGTCTGGAGAAGGCTCAGGGGGGACCTGATGGCTCCCTACAACTGCCTGACAGGAAGTGTAATTAACATGTTCTGGGAATCTTCTTGTCTTTCTAATTATTGAAGTCTTTCTCAAAATCAAAATTAAACTGCTGTTCAGAGCTTGTAAACAGAGCATAGAATGGGAAGTTATTGCTGTATGGATCAAAGAGTGATGTGAGACCTTTTTTGTAGTATCAGACTGGTGACAAGAAACAGGACAGGACCCATTTCATATATTCTTGCTGTTGGCCATTGTACTTTACACTGCTCTTCATGATCTTTGACTGCCAGGGTTTCTTTGCAGCCTTGATTTTTCTCTGTTATACCTACAACAAGTTTAAAGGAAACAAGCTTTAATCTGTAAAATAAACCCAATTAAAAGTGATGAGGGGGAAAACTGGAATACTAACAGTAGTACTTTGTATTGTAGACTGCTTTGTGTGTGGTGTGAGTAGGGTCATTTCAAAAGAGCTACTGAATAGAGTTCTTGTGACTTCAGTTGATTCACGGTTGAGGGAATACAGGTAAGTCTTTGGTTAGGGGAGGCAGCTGTTAGGGGAGGAGAACACTTAACCCTCAATGAAATTTTACCCTGGTGTATGTGGCATGCCGGACCCTGACCTGTCATCGAATAAGGGAGGAGAAATCCTTTGTGTTTTCCTGGTTAATAGGGCATTATCCCAGCTGCAAAGCACCCGTGCGCTCGGCACATGGGGCTGGCTGCAGGCTGCCTACACGTGCAGGGAGCTTAAGTAGGTCTGGAAGGGCCAGGATGGGAAAGAGCAAGTGCTTTTAGGGCACCAGAGAGTTGAGTTCTTCAGTCACTTTGCATGGGGACAGTCTCATGATGTGTTGGTGAATGCTCCAGACAGGTTGGGAAAACGGAGAGGAAGGAGGTGAAGAGCCTCTGCGTTCCCACTGAGGTTTGCAGCCCAACTTTTGTGGCTGTGGAGGCAGGAATAGGTTGGACCTCAGCACAAAACATCACTGTATTTGATTTCTTACAAACCACAAAGTGTTGTTGAGCATGTCCCCCTTGCTGCTTCTCTGTTAAGACCTCAGAAGTCCAGTCAGTAACTGGTAAGTTACTGGGAAGTACTCTAGGATCATCCCTCCAAGCTCTGTGTTATGGATAGATCCTCAGCTGATCTTCTCCCCATACACAATGATTGATTTCCAAAAGGGGGGTTGGAACTGGGTAATCTTTAAGGTCCCTTCCAACCCAAACTGTTCTATGATTATGTGATTTCTCCTGGTTTCTGTAACCCATTGAATTTGTCCTCTGTGTGCAGCAGTGTGCATGTGTGCATGTGGAAGAGCCAGCTCTGCTGGGCTGGGAGAGGAGGCTCCTGCTGGCCTTTGGTGCAGTGGAGATGGGGCTTGGCTGCAGAGGTCAGGGTTGGTTTTAATGAACTGAGGGAGAGTGAGAGGGTGAAAGGAGAGCAGCAGGGTCCCACTGTTGGTGCGCACTAGTTGGGTGAGGGGGAAGCAGTGGAGGACATGGACCTTTCTCTTTTGCCTAGCAAACTGCAAAACTGAATCAGGTTGTGCAAGTAATCTGCAGAATTCCCTTTTCCTGTTTTTAAAACACACGGGATAGCAGCTCTGGTGTTAGGATGTAGGATCCCTCTGCTCAGCACTACTGGGGTACCGTAGCTTCCCTTCTGAAGGGTGCACTTGAAGCAACCACCTTCCTCGGTGACTTTGGCAATGAGCACTCCTGCATCTGAATGCGTTTAGGTGTGGAGGCTTGTCCTGGTTTTTTTTTTGTTCGTTACATAAATGTTCTAAATTAAAACAGGTTAGATTGAATCACGCTGTTTACTGACCTACTAGACCAGGCTTGATCATTTAAAGTGTGTTTCAAATCACGGGGCACATGTCTGATTGATACTTTAGCTTCTGGAGTCAGTGTGGCACAAGTAAATGATGCAGAAATGTGCCACGTGCGTAAAAAATCTGGCTCTTGGAAGCTTAAAGCTAAATCCCTTGTTTATGAAATCTTTCCATATATGAATTTTGTCTTTTATTTGGGAGATGGCAACGTGAGTTTGGAAAGCTGGTGGGTGGAATATGTAACAATTAATGTTCTCCGATAGCCTAAATGATAAGCCCCCCCCAAAAGTACATAAAGCTATGAACACCTTTTTTTGACAGGCTTTGAAGACTGCCAAGAACACACGATTCGATTCATTTAAGCATTAAAATAGTAATACCCATGGAAGAGCCTCAAGACTTACCCGAACAACCAGTAAGTACATTTGAAAAGGCTAAAAATGAGCATTGGTCATCTCCCAAATGCAGTGTAGCGTTACTGTGATTAAGAATGGAAAATAAGGCTTATTCTGAGTGTATTTGTCTAGAGGTAAGGAATCATTTTGCTCTTAGTAAAATGTGTTGTACACTTAATTTACTACAATTTTACAGACAATAGTAAGAAAAGGAATAGTTATGTGTGCTTGAACTCTGTAATGTTACTATGTCAACTAACTATTTGTTATGCTCAGAAAACTCAAGCCTGTTGTAGAGAAATGAATATTCACTATTTCAATGACAGAAGCGGCATGTTACAGTGTGAAGAGTCTGTAATTCTTCTTGGGCTGGAGACCTTGAAAAGATGCTATGATCCATCAGCTCCACAGGGGGAAAGCATTTCAGTTCTTTATTTAACAGTGAGTTTGAGTAGGGAAGTGTGTCTTAGGCTAAAAGCTGTTGTCCAAACATCTTACGTCTTTGTGATCCTGCCTTTGTTATCAGTAGCTGATAACAACACCTCACAGGAGCTTTGTAGAGCTGTTACTAATACCGTATGATAAGTTAAATTTGTATGTCTAAAACAAACAGGAATTAAACAGTAAAGTTTGTATTACTGTAATAGTCCCAAATTAAACCTGATGTGAACTCAACAGGCAGTTGCCGTGTTACTATGAGAGTGAAACCGATTTTCATTTTGGGGACCTGTTCACATGCATACAAGCCAGAGTAAAACACTGAGGGCAAGTGGGCAACATCCTCACTGGAAAGATTCTGACGCTTTTTGAATGTGAGAATTTGGTGTTCTTCAGTTAACCAGTTAGAAAAATGGCACTGAATGAAATGGAAATTTCCAGTTGATCAAAAGATTGTGTGACGCAACACGCAGGTTATGGGCAAGAGTCTATATGCACAAAACGTGAAGCAAATCAGCAAAACCAGAACAGTTGAACTCCAGATACATACAGGATTTTAAAATGAATGAAATGTGTGTATTAAGAAAGGAAATAATCATGTAATCACATCCTTACATGAAGAAAACTGTGTTTATACAGGGCATGAGAGACAGGGTGCAGCTAATGTTCAGTACATGAAAGCATCCTCTGTAAGAGTCTGCTGTAATTCTCAGCTGAAGAACTTCTTGGTAATTCCTTTTAACTATCTTATGCCAGTCAGTCATTCTGAGACATAATGTGAGACTACTGATCACAACTGGTAAGTGAGGTGGTATTTTGAGTACAGTGCCACATTCTTGCAGGAAGAAATAAAAAGAACAACTTTGGGTTGTTTTTTTTTTTGTAGTGAGGCCATTCTTAAACCAAGTGAATTTTCCTAATAAAAGAACAAGAGCAGAGTGAAGTCAGCTTTGCAAAACCCTGACAGGCTTGTAGCCCACTCTTGATACTGTATTGGCTCAGTGCAAGGTTTTCTGTGTTTGACCACTGCTGGGAGCTCCTGCTGTGGGGATCTGCTGCACAGGTCCTCTCAAGGACAGCTCTCCTCACTTGTGTCTGAACCTTTGTGTCTTCACAGGTGAAAAAAGCCAAGATGCAGGAATCCAGAGAACAAAGTCTGAGGTATGTAATGTTCAGTTTGATTTAGTGTGGGACTGTTGTTGCTGTTCTTTTATCATTAGAAGATTCCATTGTAGAAGCTTGCGTGCTGTTTTCTCTTTCAAGGCAAACAGAAGTCAATTCTATATTTGCTGTAATTTTGAGTTCCCAATTACAAAACGTAAACTGACACTTTGGTATTCAGTTACAAAGAGTCCTCACTGCATCATCAAGCATCCTGTTTTTCACAGAACCTGATGGGACTGTCATGTTCTGCGCATAACATGCATTGATTCTGGTGAAAATCAGGATATTTTAATAATATCTGTGCTCTGATTCTCAGCAGAACTCTGTGGGTTACTTATTTGAGAAGTTAAACCCTCTCAAATCAATAGCCTCTTCTGTTTAAAGCCATTCTCTGGTACTATTTTTAGTCTCAGTAGGTGCTTCCTGATGTATATCATATTTAGGAATTTATCCCTATTCTTACATATTCTGAGAATAGCTGTATTTGGGTTTGTTCTGTTCCTGTGAGTAGTCACAAATACTGTGGAGAGCAATTTGGTTTTGGACAAGGGCCTGTAGGGACAGGACGAGAGGAATGGCTTTAACCTGCCAGAGGGGAGATTGAGATGAGCAGAAGTCTGTCTAGCTGGTAGGAGGTGAGATGAACCATGTCCTAGGAGGATTTTTTCTCTCTGTTGGCTGCAGAGGAGCTGAGGGCAGCACAAGCAGGTCTGAACATGCCAGAGTGAATGGTGGTGATTCTGCTTCAGTGTATTCCCAGTGTCAGTGCACCCCTGCAGTCCCCCACTACCAGACATTGCAGTGCAAATCCAGTGCAGTTAGTGTCTAATTAGAGCTGCAAATCTCTCTCTTAGGATCTCTGTGTGAAATAGCAAAGAGTGCAGAGCTAGTTTCTGTTCAGAGCCAGTTTGCCTCGGTTAGGAAGGCCAAATCTTGGGTTACAGTGCCCAAGGATGTTCATTTAAAGAGTTCATAATGCTCACGATTAGCCTTTGTTTGTCCTGGCAGTCATGTGAGCAATGCAGAAGTCAGCGATGAGAAACCTGAATCTTCAAGCCTTGGTTCAAACCTTCCCATGTCCAGTGAGAGTGAGTATCTTCCAGAGTGCTTCTGGTCCCACTGTCTTTACTCCTTTCTTTCACTGGCCTTGTTACTTTGCGTCAGGAAACACAAGATTTGGGCAGAACTGAAATCAGAGTTTTGTCTTGACAGTTGCCAAAGATGATGGGAGCAACTAGTAAAGAGAAAAGCACTGTTACAAAGGGAGAAATGGTATTGACTGAATCATCCACCTGCTGTGAACTGGCAATAAAACCATTTTGTGCTGGCTTAACAGTGCTTTTTTTGAAACTTTGCTTTGAAAAAGGTTTTCAAATATTCAAGATCCTCACTAAAAAACCTTTGTAAATCCTTTTGTCTTGGTTAAAATGTGCTGTGCATGCTGATACTCCATTGGCTTTATTTGCTGGGCTTTGAAACCACCTATGTAATGACACAAACTATTTCTTTTTTCAGTTATGACATGCACTGATTATATCCCAAGGTCATCCAATGATTATACCTCACAAATGTATTCTGCAAAGTAAGTCAATCATTCTTCACTGAGTTCTGTAACTCTCCTTTCTTTCTGAAGCATTTCTGCGTTGCTGCAAATCACACTTTCATATGTGCTGGCAACAGATACTCGTTGCTGCGGACGCTGAAGCTGACACAAGTCACTCTTTGGGTTCCGTGGCTGTTGTTTAACGATCACAAGGCTAAATAAGCCCCTTCAAGTAATTAACAATGCAACTTGTTGAATAATGCCCATAATATTTGGGGAACAAACAAATCGGACATAAACTAAGGGGAATGTAGGATTTTCTCATCATTCACCATGTTTGGAGATCTTAAAAGTTCTTCCCATTGCAGCACAAGAGGCACGATAAGTGAAGCTAATTGCTCTTGCCTGTTGCAATGGGGAGTTTGTTCTTCCCCTCAGCCCTGGAGTAAGCACTGGTACTCTGGCATTGTGATGGGGAGAGCTTCCCCTGGTGTCACAGCAAGAAGCAGGCAGTGTATGTAAATCCAAGAGCTTGTCCTTCTGGGAAACACAAGTGGGTTATTACATCAAAGCACAGATCAGTGTGTATTGTTTCTGCTTTCTGAAGCATTTTTTTTTTATATATCTTCTGGTTTTTAGGCTGAGAGATGCATCATGTAAATAGCTCTTTTTAACTTTTGTTCTTTCCATTTAATAAGGCCATATGCACATATCCTTTCTGTACCTGTATCGGAAACCATGAGCCCTTACCCTGGTCAGCCTCAGTACCAAGCACTACAGCAATCTCAGCCCTACACCATCTACCCCCAGACCACCCAAACCTACGGACTACCTCCTTTCGGTAAGAAGTTAGCTTCTCAAAGACTTCTCAGGGTCTGCAGTTCTTGTCTTCTCTCTCATGAAAAGGCCTGTCTTTTCTCTCATGTTAACCTTAACCAGGTGTGTTGGAGAGAAGAGTCTGTAGGAGAGCATGTGCCTGACTTGAATTGTATATCAGTGCTGATCTCTAGATTGGATTCATAGGATGTTATTTATTACAAAGCTCTTTTCCTGGCCATTAATTTAGATGCCTCCCCATGAACTGTGTCAGATGGTTCTTCGTTTGGGGTCATAATGTTCTCTAGATGCGTGTAGCTGTGTTTGTGCAGTTTCCTTGTCAGGGAAATCCCACAAGAGCCCATGCTACAGCATCTCTGTAGGATGTAGGATGAAGGTATTTTTCCTTTCCTTTTTGCTGACCAGGATTAAGACTTCTTTTGTTATTTCATCTGTCACCAAATACAGATTTCATGCTAAAAAGTCTCCAAGTTTGCTGGGCAGATAAGTTGACTTAAGTTGCTCTAATACTTGAGCCCTTTAATAGCCTCTCCAGTTTTTGCAGATGCTTGAAGGTTAAAAGTGCTGTAAGTGACCAGCTGTAAATACTGTATCATGCTCTCAAAAATGTACTGTGGCAGAGACTGTTCTGCCCCTTAGCACCAAGCACTGATGGACTTGAGGGTAACATCCCCTTCCATGCAGGTAACCTGGGAGAGCATCTGGGTGCTATTGTGAGCAGCTGACACACAAGTGTCTGTCTCAGGGCTTGTGGTCACACTGTAGAACTGAATGAACAGATTTACCTGTAGTGTTAAAATCTTTATGCCTTGAAGTGTAAAAGGATGCTGTCGTGAGATCCTCAGTCCCTGCTGGGAAGGTTCCACCAGCTGCTGTGGGCTTGGGATTTCTGGTAGGTGAGGACATGGTTGACTCTGTTACATGCCCTGGGGAGCCACGGTTCTCTGCCTGAGCTCACTTCATTCCTCCAGGAGAGTTTTGCCCTGAAAGCTGAACAAGTGTGGAGAAGCCTGATGCTGTTTCCATACTCCAGTCTTCAGTTACCAGTGCAGTTTGTTTGCTGGCTTTCTAAACACTGCCCTCCTTATTTTTTTGTCTGATTGTAGTGTTGTGTGTTGTCACTATGGTCTGTTACCTGCTTCCCTGGCAGTGCTCAAGGCCAGGTTGGACGGGGCTTGGAGCAACCTGCTCTAGTGGAAGATGTCCCTACCTGTGGCAGGGGGTTGGAACTGGACGAGTTTTAAGGTCCCTTCCAACCCAAACCACTCTGATTCTACAAACCCTGTGTTATGGTTGCTGGAACATCCTGCTGTTCCCTGAGTGCCTGCACTTTGGTTTCAGTGCCTTGTTGCACTGTTTCAGCTGTATCTGAACAGTGGCTGGTGGTTTTCTTGACTTCATTTGTTTGGTGTTTATTGACAGTTTGCTGTGAACAGTGCACAGGGGCTGCTTTGGAAGTGCTCAGGTGTGTTACTGTGTCGTGTGGTTGGGTTTCTTTAAGGCAAATATGTGTGTATATGTGGAATGCTCTCTTGAAGTGTTAGGCCAAGATGTTTGAAAAGGTGTTTTAGACTTAATTCTAAAATTAGGGGGGTAGAAAGGATGTGGGGAGGTTTGTTAAGTGTTTTGTGTATGTGATGTTTGGTGGTGGTGGTGATAGTGGTGGCTGTACTGGGGGATGTGTGTTTGGGTTTTATCCCAAGGTTTTGGAATTTGGGGATGCTTCCCTGCTTAGTGTTAAACTCTGAATGTAAGAGGAGAAATTCTCCTGAAGACCAAGGCAAGAGATCAGCATTTCTGTTGGCTTCATAGGAACTTCTTTCTGTTAAACATCTTCTGAAATGTGATCAGTTACTGAAATGTCTTGGTATGGATGTTGAGATATATTATTAAATACCTGAATTTTTAGTCTGAATTTAAGTGTTAGGAAGATGTTAGAAGGCATCTTACCAGTAATGGAAATCATACTGGAGTGGTACCTGCTTGATCATACTGAGAAGATGGATGAGATGGACAATGGAGGGTAGAGGACTGAGCACGCACAGTGCAGAGGGAATGATACAGTTTGTTCCTGCTCACAGTGTCCATGAGCAGGTGAGGACTTGGCCAGCCTGGTCAGATGTTTTACCATTATGGAAAGGCCTGTTCCAGAGCTTTGCATGACTTTCTACTGTGTATTTGTTTCTGTGCCAAAAAGGAAGGAGGCATCATGGATTATCTAGCTGGAACGAAACAGGTGTATTTGAATTATGAAATCCAAGCAAGTTGACAAGTGTAGTCTTGAGAACACTCAGGTCATGATGCTGCTTTCAGAGAAGAGATGACCTGTGTTCTTGCCAATTTGTCACCTTTCCTTGTAGTGTGGTACTTTTTGGATGGTGTTCAGTGCATTGTTCTGCCTGGGGCATACTCTTGGTCTAGAGAGGTTTTATTAAAGAAGCAGTAAAATGAGAGTAGTGATATACAACCTGCTTATATGTGGCTGTAGGTGGTAGAAACAGTGTGGATGTGATGGTTTACCTTAACTCAAGAAGCTACAAGTGATGGGCTATCCTCTGGGGCCTTTCCACATACACAGATGTCTCCTGCTGCTGCCATTGCACACGGAGGGGTCTTGTTCCCCACTCGCCTTCCTCTCTGTCACCCTCAAGACTGTGCTGGCTTATTATCATTGTCATGCAGAATGAGAGGGACAGATGTGTGCCATTATGCCAAGAGTGGGCCTTGCTGTATGGAAGTAGAACCTGTCTATACTGAGAGATGAGAGAGACAGTCATGGAAAGCAGGGGCTGAAAGATGCTTTACCATGCAACCTGAGTCAGCTCCTGCACTCACACCCAACCACCCCTGCAAGCACCTCTGATGTGTGTGTCTGACCTGTTAACTCCTCATGTGCATCCTACATGCACTAGAGGTGGTTTGTGTTTCATTGTCAGACACTTCTGTGTGTTCTGGGACCCTCTCATTATGTTGCTGTTGGCTCCTTGTCCATCTGTCTTGCACTGTAAGGAGCTGTTTGTTGCTTTTCCTTCTAAAAACTCCTCACCTATTTGAAGATCATGGCACTCCCTTTCCAGACTAAACAAATACAGCTTTCCCCACTCTCCTTAGAGGGTTTGTTTCCCATATGTTTTATTCTGGAGTTTCTGCAGTGTATCTACAACGTTTCTTAAATCAGCCCTTCCCTTTTGTTTGCTAACACGGTTCTAGAAGTTTGAAACAGCAATGAAGACACAAGTTTGAAGAATCAAAACCCTGGTGTGCTGTACAGATAGGTGAATGACTTAATTTGACTCATAGGTGACAGTTTGAGATCAGGTATGTAAATAAATCAAAGAGCCATTGAAGAGTTTCATTCTGACAAAGCAGCAGCATGGAGCGAGCTGCACTTGCCCAGCTCTAGAGCATCTCCCATGTCTTCTGGGTAAGAAGCGGAGCTCATAGCCTGAGGCTTATCCTGCTGCATACACTGTGTGAAAGGCTGCAGGTGATTTTCAGTCTTGGTGCTGGTTTCGGGGGGTGGTTAAGGAGAAGGGTGGTCTTTCTGCTGGCCCTGAACATTGTGTCTAGCTCCACATGTCCTTTGTCCCTCTGCTTTGCACACTCCTGCTTGTTTTTACATAGATCCTTTCAACTGATTCCTGCTTTCTAACCAGGGCCAGGGACAAATGCCTTTGACTTTGACTCTAGGTCTGGAAACACTTAAACAAAAGCCTGAGGAGCCCTGAAGAACCAGGCCTGAGCTGAGGTGCTTCATCAGGACACTGGTTTTACCCTGTCAGTGCAGTAGACTAGAGCCTAACGTGGCACCTGAGCTGGCTCTGCCCAGTATTATTACCAAGGCTCTCCAGAGCAGCAGGACATCTAGATGAAACATTTAGATGGGTTTTTTCCCCTTGTTTTAAGCTCTATTTTTGCTGTTGTCAGTCTGTGGAAGCTACTGACTTGTGGCTTGTTTTAACATACTCAACCCAAAGCCCAGTGAAGCAGTGGAAGCGTTGTCCTTGACCTTGGTAGATACCAGCTCAGCCTCACCAAATAAAGCTGAGGTCCTTGGCAGGGCTGTGCACCTCAGAGGGATCAGCAGGTTCCTTACACTGATGAGCAGTTCATCCTTCTGTGACACTACCAGATTTTTAGTTGCAGGCTTTGGAAATTGGTCTTGTTGGTGCTTCTAATTTTCTCTTTTCCAGGCTTTTTGTCATCAGCTCTAACCCGTGCACAGCCTGACAGTCAGAAATGCAACATTTCTCACGTGCCATTTGTTACTTGCTTTTGTGATGAGCAAAAATCTGCATCTGAGGTCGCAGCATGCTCTTTGGTGCCAGCGTATCTGTTTGTAACTGGTCCGATTTATCTGATTCAGGTGCACTGTGGCCAGGTATGAAACCTGAAAGTGGTTTAATTCAGACTGCATCTACAAGTCAGCACAGTGTTCTTACCTGCACTACAGGGTTAACCACAAGCCAGCCCAGCCCAGCACATTATTCTTATTCCATTGAAGGTAACTTGGCATGGTTTTTATCTGCATCTCTCTCCACCTAATTGAGTCCAGATACCACAAATAGAGAGGCTTGCACGTTTGTCCTTGCTTTGTGCATGCTTCTTTATGCTTTGCCTCTTTTTGTGTGTGTGTATGTTTGGGTTTGTGTTTGCTACGTACCTCTGTATGCACCAGGCTGGCTTGTTGGTGCCATGCTGATGGACTTAACAGGGTGAAAAGCAAATGGGAAGGGGAGACGAGACTAAATGTTGTGTTCTTGCATGCCTTTATTGGGAATGCTCTTGCAGCTAAAACTCTTTATGGTGGGCTTTAGCTTGACATCAGGAACTAAACTGTGTCACAAACACTGCCCAGGTTGGGAGATCTGGTAGAAAGTGAATTTCTCACTATAGGAAAAGCCTTCAAATTCTTCAACTGCTGGAAGTGCCACATCAAAGAAGGCAGGTGCTGAGTTTCACCAGCTTCCAAAGCAATTGTTAGGAGTAAATGTGCCACCTGGTTGAGTAATGGAACATTGTTGCTTATGGCAAATATGTGCAAACTGACATGGGGGGTTTAGGTGGGATTGTTGCCATTTTATTTGGGTGATGAATTGTGTAAGTTTGTCTCTGTAGTTTTTTAAAAAGCATTTCAAGAATTCTTTATTTCTTGTGTGATGTTTTCATAGAATAATTCAGGGACTTCAGGAGAATTTAGTTCAGCCCCAAAGAAGAGTTGACAGTGAATTCAGAACCAGGTTACTCAGGGCTTTCTCCAGTTGGGTCTCAAAATCCTCTGAGGATGGAGGTTTCTCCAGTTCCAGTGCCTGGTTGTCAGCACAAAAGAGAACCCTTTTCTCTGTCGTCAACCTGGAGCATCCCCCATTTCCCATTGTGACTGTTTCTCTCCTCCTCCTGCTTGTGCCCCTGCAGAAGCAGCCTGGCTCTGTCTTCTCCATCCCCTCCATGCAGGTGGGAGCAGGCTGCTGTCAGGTCCCCCAAAGCCATCTCTTCTGCAGGCTGGGCTGTCCTGCTCCCCCTGCTGCCCCTTCACAGGGTCCATGTTCCAGCTCCTGGAGTGTTTTGGTGGCTCTTTGCCAGACGCACTGAATTTTATCAACATGTTCACTATGCTTGAGGCCCCAGACCGAATGCAGTGTCCAGATGTGCTCTAATGAGTGCCAAGTGCACTTAGTGATTGAGCATTTTGCTTGCTGTGCTTGCCCGTGGTGGTACATCACAGAGGTGCTTGGAAGCACTGGGAGCAACAGGGGAGGAATGGCTGCTTTTTGCCTCACCTCTTCCTGCCCTGGGGGAGCAGGGCAGCCAAGTGAGACATGAAATGCACTCATTGCCATTTCCCAGCACAAGAATGGGCTTGAAGCATCTTTGAAAACAACTGAAGCAAAACCATATAGGATGAATAAGGCAGGGGAGGTAGAGATACAAGATCTGAAATGAGATCTGGATGCTTGGAAGAAAGAAGAGAGTTACAGCATCTTCAAGAGTTTGCTGAGGCCATGAAGTGGTTGGTCCCTTCTGGCACATCCATGCCAAATGTTTTTGCATGGGTTTTGGCCATTCACAGGTAAAGGATCTGACCCCCAGTGCAGAAAGAACTGGTCAGTCTCTGTGGTGGGAGTTGTTTATAAGGATCTGATGTGTAGCACTGGATAGAGAAAGGGTAATAAAGAAAGAAATGTTGGAAGGAGACTAGGGTTACACTAAACATGAAATTCATACACAGGGAACCTGTTTTTGCCAGAATCCCAGCACTTGGAATCTTTTCTTCCATAGTTTCTTGTGTTCTTTATCTCAGGGCAGCAGCAGCCTCTTCAGAGCACTACAGATGAGAATGGCTTTCTGTGTGCTCTCTGTTACCATCTTGAGAGAGGTGGTACAATAGCATCTTCTATCTGCAGAGAAGAGGCTCTTCTCTGAAGAGCTGCTCTTCACAGTGCCCTGGGAAGTGCCATTCTCTTCAGCTGTAACAGCCTTGATTGTTCCTGTAACCTGGATAGGTGGAAGGAGTTTTATTAGGAAACTAACCCCTATTCTCTTAACAGTTGCTTATGAGGAGTGTCTGTGATGGGTACCTGACTCTCACAACTGTGCTTCCAGTAGCTGCACAGCTCCTGTAGGTACTTGAGTGTCTTCGTTACTGTTATTGCTGCTCAGTGCAGCTTGTTTTCCGTTTTCTAAGTCTTCTCCTCTGTATTCTCTCCCATCTGGATTTGAACACTGCTGCTCCTACCTGTGTGGGGATCCCCAGGGGCTATCTTCATTCCTGCTTCTAGGAAGATGCCATCCTTCATCCTGCTCACCTCTTGTCAATGCTCTGTATTTCTGCAGCTCTTTTAAGATCTATTCCTTTTGGTTTTCATCTTTTTTTGAGGCATATTTTGGATCCATTCCTTTTCACTGGAGCTGTTCACCAGGAAGTATGTGCACTTGACATAACACACTGTACATTGAGAGTTCATGGTGGGGTCTGTTTCCTTGGGTAGGAAGATTGAAGCCTTCAGAAGCTCGAGTTCTTCAGGCTTGGGGTGAATTTCTCATGGGTGTCATCTGCAGGAAGTGAGGGATTTTGTCAGTGATGGTAAAGCAGAGGCAAGACTGGATTTCTGCAAATGTTTTGACAAGCATCTGAAAGTGATTTTTGGTTTTAGTTGTGTGCAGAGAAAGAAGGTTATTCAAAGAGAATATTTCTTGGTGGCACCTGTTTCAGTACATCCTGATGTTGCTCATGCTGATTTCATTCTGTGTTTTCACTAGTCCTCGAGGCTCCCAAACCCCCACGTGGAGTGGTGTTCAATGGAGTGTAAAACCACACAATCTACCAAATGATTGGTGTTCCCAGAGCAGCCTCTTCTGGGCTTTGGATGAACTGAATGCAGTGACAGAAGGGCTTAAAATTCATACTTACAAATACTTGTCTCTCATAATTTGACCTGCAAACTGTTGACAAATCATTGCAGAAAGTCTCATCCAAACCCCAGCTGTAGTGTCCCAGGGATTTGGGGACATACACTGCTTTCCTCAGTAGGAAACACCCTTTTTATACTATTGGAACTGTTGTTTCCTTCAATTTCCTGTTCTAATGAGACAAAATATGTTGAGTCAAATGCAGAGAGAATTTATCAGAGCTCATTTAAAGACATTCACATTCATTTCACTGATTCATTCTGATTCATCTTCGTCTGCTACTATTGAACATCAGAGGTGATTGTTGTCTTCTCAAAACTTCTAGTCAAGATATGAAGCCATTTTACTGATACTCCAATTGCTTGGCAGGGCTGGAGGGAAGGGTTCTGAAACCCCTGGGTTTGCAGGTACATTGGTTCTCCTTCCTTCTAAGCCCAGTTGAAAGGTAACTGGTTTCAAAATACACCCCCCTTCTTTTGTGGCTGTTACAAGCAGAGTGCTGCTGGGAGCACAGATGCTTGCACACAGTAAGTACTTCTTTCACAGCTTGGATTGGTCTCGTCTCTTGTGCTTTCCTAGAAGCATTTAATGCAGTAATTCTTCATTTTACAGCATCAACTACCAATGCCAGTCCAGTCTCTACATCCTCAACTGTTGTCAATATTTCCACGTCAGCAGTAGCCAGCATCTCACAGGTAAAACTTCTTCCTTATCATGTTTATGTGCAGCATCAGTAAAATTAAACCAGCAGAAATTGAAGTCCTCAAGCACAGCTTTAGGTGCTCAGTGATCTCAATGAGTAAATAGTCTTCACAAATGGATACCTTTAGTCACAGCATGCAAAACATTTGCTTGCTGAAGTCACGGTATGAGTAAAGGCGGTTTATCCTGTGGCTCTTGTGTCTGGTATTTCACACTCAGCCAGTGCCAAGACCACTTTCTGTTGCTGTCAGTACATCTGGTATCAGAAAATAAAACCCAAGACTAAACCACAAATAGCAGAGCACAGAGAGAGGGGAGTGACACCGTGCTATCCACTTGATACCGCCCTGTTACTGTCGCATCATTCATAATGAATTCATTTGTGAGGAATCTGGAGGCAGAGGAGTGCCTGTCATTGCTGGCAGACCTGCCTGTGCCCTTGGGAACTCTGAGCTCTCAACCCTTTTTGGGGATGTCTTAGACATGCAGAAAGAGCTAGTATGGAGTCTGACTGCTCTTGCAGGGATTTCTTTTTGACAGGCACATTCTAGCATAAAACTCATCTGAATATAGAATGTTTTCTGAAAGAAGTCACCTGTCACAACTCATCCTTTCCTCTAACAGGACTATCCCACGTACACAATCCTTGGCCAAAGTCAGTACCAGACGTGTTACCCGAGTTCTGGCTTTGGAGTGGTGACACCAGCAGAGAGCAACACAGAAACCACTGCGTTAGCCACAGCCACAGCCACATACCCAGCCGAGAAGCCAAGCGCCATGGTGCCTACGCGGGCGGTGCAGAGACATTCCTCTGGTAATGGCTGGATCTTTAGCAGGGTGCCTGCAGAGTACCTGACATAAACAGTGCAGAGTGCACACATGGGGAAAGCTTGTTGTCCAAAAGGTAATTGCAGCACCTTTGCATGCTGGCCTGGACAGACAGGACATTTGCCTTCTGCTGTTGTCAGACTGGTCTCACTGGTGTGCAGGGTTTAAGAGCTTAGGTATAGGAAGATATATAACTGTGACAATTCAGGAGACACCCAGTACATGCTCTGGATGCCCTAGGGAGAGGGAATTCCAGGGGTGACTTGAAGAGTTGTCAACAGCAACTGCGTGGGGACTGTTGCTTGACATGTGTTGGGGCTGGGTATTCACTGCAGGGCAGTGGATGATACCCACTCCCAAAGCTCCTGTTAGCTCCAGGATCTCTGAATCTGAACACTGCAGCCAGGTATTCGGATTGCCTGACAGCCATGCCATAGATGCTAGTGCCATGATGGGACTCCCACATGCCTTGTCAAGAGCTGTCGTTTGGCCATCACCTCTCCATGAGTTGTTGCTTATGTGCTGAGAAACACATCCTTTCTTTCCTTCTGCTTTATCATGTAAAGTGGTTTTGAAATGACAGCTGACCACACTGTGAGGTGTATCAAGAAGCACAGCCTCTTGCCCTCTTTCAGGAAGCAGTTGCCCTCTAGTTGTGGTGAGCAACATCAGATTTACCCATGAGAATGTTTCTTAGTTGATATTGCAAACCGATGGAACTGACCTGTTATTTCAAGGCACTGGCCAGGGAATGACCCAATTGTTAATGTTTTCTTGCCATTTTCTTAGCTCTGAAATTCTCCAAGGTTAATATTTTGCATGAATTTCCCTAGGAATTCCTGTGTCTTGTCTTGAAAGACCCAGATTGAATTCAGGCTTTCTCAAGCCCCCTTTGCCCTCTGCCTTCTCACTACAGTTCTGGTCCTGTTTGTGAACTAGTCAGGCAGAGGTTTGGGATGTTACCTCTTCTGCCTGAACTCTTAGTAAAGGATTCAGAGGGTATCTCCCATCATGGCAGTAACATTCTGCACATCAAAGCATTGATTTTTATGGGTTTTTTTTATGGTGGTGCTCTACCATTTCCCTGGGAAGGGTGTTCTTACCAGTAGCAGATTAGGCTCCATCATGCATCTCCATCAGCCATGGCCATGGTGCTTGGTCTATGCTTCCTGGACCAGTTCATCCCTGTTATCCTTTACTAATTCTTGGATAGGGCAATGGAGCTGTGGTGTGTTTCACAGCACGCTCTGCATTTGTGTGTGATTACCACACTCCAGGTAACTGTGCTCTGGCTATTATTTAACTAGTAGTCGAAGGCTTTCAGTGGCACAGGAGCAAATAGTGTGGAAGTGGTAACAGCATGTGTTGTATAGTGCTGCTTGGCCCAAAAGGTGTTTGACCAGGAAGTCTGAGAGGGAGAGGCATCTTGAGATACTTTCCTTTGTACACTCATTCCAGACTGAGGGATTCTGGTGTTCTCTCAAGAAGTATTAAAAGAAACCATTGAGGAATAAAGCAGATCCATGGTTGTGAGACACCTGAGGGGTTACAGGCCTTGGGGTGGAGGGTGCTCTGTCCTTGGCTTTGTGCTGCAGGCAGAATGCAGTAAGTAGCTTGGTCCTAGTGTACTCAATGGAGGAAACAGAACTGCTTTGAAATGATGGGACAAAGAAATCATGTTTTATGTTCTACTAAGGGTTCAACTACTACTGCATCAATAAAGCAAGATAACATCTTCCTTTTGCAAAGGTCTGTGGCCAGATGTTATCAGCTTTATGTTGGTGTTTGTTTTGAGAGATGGGGGATGAGACCTGTATGATTTCTTTCTTCTAGGAGATGCATCCACAAGTCCTTCATTATCAAGAGCAGCAGCAAGTAAAGAGTTAGATGAGCAGGCAAGAAAAAACATCCCTGGGAAGAACAGGGGAAAGAGGAAAGCAGATACCTCTTCCTCACAGGACAGTGAACTGGAGGTAAACAGTGGGGTGGTAAAAGTTCTCTCTTTCTTTCATTCTCTCTCCCTGGCAATTTTCCATCTGCCATTACCGAGAGGAATTTGTCTCCATCATCTTCTCAGTTCCCTTTCCATTAGTTGTGGTCTGCTTTTAGATCACCCTTAGTCTCCTCTTTGCTGAGATGAATCATCACAGCTCCCTCAGCCTCTTCTCTAGGTGCTGACCATCTCAACAGCCTTTTGCTGGCTGCTCTGGTTTCCTCACATAAGTCTTGAACGGGGGCTGCCATCTGGGGTGACCTTCCTAGTGCCAAGTAGGGTGAGACGGCACCTTCCTTCTATCAGCCAGGGACACTTGGCAGTTCCTCTTATCACACAGAGTGCTGCTGGCTCATACTGCACTTGCACTCTCCAGCTCCTCCCAGCTTGGACCAATACAAGGGGTTATTCCACCCCACGTGCAGATTCTGCAGTTATTGAACTTCTAGTTCCTGTTGGTCCAGTTTATCAGAGTCCTTCTATATGAAACTGCTGTTCCTCATGGCAGCTGATCCTACTTACCATAATAGAGGAGTTTCTGATAAACACCAGTTATTCACTTGGTGCTCTCCAGATCACAGACAGTAAACTGCCCTAGCAGGGCTCTAAAGTTCATTAGCACTCTGTTCTGTTTTTATAACTATAAAAGAAGAAAAGCTTTTGGAAACAGTTTTGACCAAGAGAGCCTTACTCTTGAAGTTGTATTGGTGCACTCTAGCAGTATATAAACTCCACTGCAATAAGCTGAGAGTTTAATGCGTTCAGCCTGTGACATGAATACTGTTGTTCATACCTGTTACAAGCATGCAGCAACTAACCATAGAATTAACCCTAAAACTTGCTGCTTCATTGTAGCTCAGTGCTTGGGGTATCTCAGCTCTAACCTGCTTTTGTTCTCAATGCAGCGAGTGTTTCTCTGGGACCTGGATGAGACCATCATAATCTTCCATTCGCTTCTCACAGGGTCTTATGCTCAAAAATATGGCAAGGTAATAATTGTCTTCTCTGTGGAAGAAAATGTGTATCTGTCATGTACAATTAAATGTTGATCTTTGCAAAAGGAACAGATCATGATAATTTGGTTGAAACGTATGAGGTGATACTTTTGTTGGGGAAAGAGCACTAAATTTGGCTTTGCACAGAGCCTAGGGCACAGACATCACAAACACTTCCCTTCTTAAAAGTCTTTAGAAGTCAGACTGATGTTGTCATCATTGGGAATCATTGAGGTCACAGCACACAGTAAAAGGAAGGGCATTTTCTCCTTTAAAATGTATTGAAGATCTTGTAAATGTTTTGTTTGTGTTGCCTCTGACAATGCAGCAGTCCCTGCTGTGCAGTGCATTGCTGGGCAGTGCTGCAGTGCTTTGCTGGGCAGTGCTGCAGTGCTTTATTACACTTTGGGTCAATGTATGAAATACTAAATATTAGAGAAATTGTAGCTTACACCATTGAATGCAGATGGAATTACATCAGGCTTGATAGGCAGTGGAAACACTGTGCAATGTAACTGATGGAAGATTGATCCCAGTTTATTCCTGCCTGTAACCACAGTGAATTTACCTCTTCTCTTTTGCTTTGCCAGGACCCAACTATAGTGATTGGCTCAGGCCTGTCAATGGAGGAGATGATTTTTGAAGTAGCTGATACCCACTTGTTTTTCAATGACTTGGAGGTACGTGGCAAATGGTTTTGAAAGACAAAGTTTCACATGACCTGGTTAGAGCTACAGTGCACCCTTTGTGAGGGCTCTTGTGCTTCCAAGCCACTTAATGCTGAAACACAACAGTCTGCAAACCTGAAGTGGCTCTAGGCACAACCAGATCAGAGGTGGACTCCTTTATCTGTATAAATAAGAGGAGTGATTTCTGCTTTGTCTTCTGTTTGCATGCTGGACTGGTGAGCACTTTGCTGTCATGGATTCTGTTTTGAAAGGAAGAGCAGAGATGTGGGGAAAAAAGTGACCTTGAGAATGTCAGATCTCAGGGGCTTTGACTAAGCCAAGGACAGAGCACAGCTTGTGCATCTCAGCCAGTGTCTCAGGAGAGTACACTGGCAGCATAACAAGTGTGAAGGACATGCTTCCATAGGCATGCTGCATGGGAGGAGGTCCCACAGCACCTTCCATCTGTCCTTCCTGCAAGCTCCCTCTGCTGCCTCCCATTCCTATCCTGCCTCAAGGACTTCTGATCAACTCCCATCCTCTTTCATACACAGTATTCTTTGCCAAATTAGATACATCTCACTGTTCCACACCACTTCCACTGAAGGCTGAATATGAACAGTGAACAGTTAATTTTAGGTGCATCACTGATGCACATCATGGAAAAATGATGGGTTTATTGATGCAAATAGAAACGTAAAGTGACTGTGGCTGCTTGCAGCTGTGAGCTTTGCAAAGGTGGTAATGACAGTTACCTCCCTGCCCCAGGAAAAACAAAACACCCAATACAGGCTTAGTTTAAATCACACGTTCTTTAACCTGCGAATTTCAGTCTGCTTCTGGATTATGACATGACTTTGTTTCTTAAACAGGAGTGTGACCAGGTACACATAGAAGATGTGGCATCTGATGACAATGGCCAGGATTTAAGGTGGTGTATGATAAATGCCTGAAATGTATAGCTGATGCACGCTGGTTTTTGTGGGGCCTTCAAACCCAAATGAGGTTGGGGGAGGGAGTCAGCATTGTGCGAGGGCTGAAACTTGGCAAATGGTGTTTGTTTGCTGGGGGGTGTTTCTTTGGAGACCTACAAAACATTAAGGCTTTCAGGATTATAGTGTGAATTATATTGTCCACTGCTGAATGTTGCCTGTGTGCTTAGTGAGGTGTGATGGAGAACTAACACTCCAGACCTCATGATCTTGACCTTTGACAGTCTCATCTGTGAGCTGCCTGTGCAGGCTATCAGAGGGGTGAGGGTGTGAAGCTGGGTGGGCTCATGGGAAGGTCTGAGAAGTGCCTGTCTGTCAGGGAGAGAGAAATACAGGGCAAGTGGTGAAGCAGAGCTCCTCTTCAAGGTGCTTTTCTAGCTGCTGTCATCAAGCCTATGCCCCCCAGGAAAGCTGCAGTGCTTCTGCTGCTGAGGCAGAACACATCTCAGATCTGCTTTTCTGAAATAGCAACTACAATTTCTCCACGGATGGCTTCAGTGGCTCAGGCAGTAACACAAACCACAGCTCCTCAGTTGGTGTCCAGGGAGGAGTGGACTGGATGCGAAAGCTGGCCTTCCGCTACCGCAGGGTGCGAGAGATCTACGACAAGTACAAGACCAATGTTGGAGGTGAGTGTTCACCTGCACCAGTACCTGAGCACTCAACCTGTGGTGGCTTCTCCCATTGCCTTGAAACACTCTCAGCTTCCAGGTGCCCTCAGTGCTGTTATTTACTGCAGAAGAGGCACTTGAACTGTGGGCTGCCCCTCTCTATGTTGGAATTGCCCACTCAGCTGGGAAAACCTGTGGTTCTTGCCTTGCAGGCCTTCTGAGCCCACAGAAAAGGGAGGCTCTGCAGCGACTAAGGACTGATATAGAAGTGCTAACAGATTCCTGGCTGGAAACTGCATTGAAGTCCCTGCTACTCATACAGTCCAGGTATGGAAACTGGAAATGTGTATATTGCTTTCTTAGCCCTTTCTTTCACTCTGATTTGTGTTCAGTGCTGTGTTGCAGCAGTGCCTATGTGTAATACTGCTGCTGTTTGTCACAGGTACTGAGAAGGAAAAGGAGTAAGAGCAGGAATTCCACTCCTTGGGGTTTTTCTGCTGCATCATGTGTTGTTAGGATGATCCCCATAATAGGACTGTGCTCACAGAATTCCTGGTTTAAACAAAAATCAACCAAACCAAACCCACAAATGAAACCTCTTGAAGGCAGGACAGTGAAGCACGTGGCACTTTGGGAAGCTGAGCAAGCTGCCCAGGGTGGCCCTGGCACCACTGGTCATAGATGGGGTTTTACAAGTGTTTTTCTTCTTTCAGGAAGAACTGTGAGAACATCCTGATCACAACCACCCAGCTGGTGCCAGCTCTTGCCAAAGTTCTCCTCTATGGACTGGGAGAGGTGTTTCCCATTGAAAATATTTATAGTGCTACAAAAATAGGTAAGGGGTTGTGCTGGTGTCTGCTGTGGGTTTTTATACAGGAAACACAGTTCCTGCAGCTGAGCAGCCCCTGTGGCTGCCGTGGTCCCTCTGGCCATGTAATAGTGATGGCTTCTGGCCTCACAAGCTGGACTGGGTGTTACCTGCTTCCCAGTGAGATGAGAATGTGTTTCTGTACTGGGAAGAAGGGACCTGTTCAGGCTTTGCCTGCTCTCTGCCTGAGGCTCATGGCAGTGGGATTCCTTTGGCAGGTAAAGAGAGCTGTTTTGAGAGGATCGTGTCACGGTTTGGCAAGAAAGTCACCTATGTGGTGATTGGAGATGGGCGAGATGAAGAGGTGGCAGCTAAGCAGGTGAGTTCTGGCTCTGCAGAGCTGGGATGTGGGTCCGTGCAAAGGGAAGTTTGCAGTTGTTTTCTGCAGGGACCCTCTTTCCAGGGCTGAACTCTTCAGGCCAAGGGGAAACTTTGCCTTTGATGCAAGAGAGATCTTGCTGCGTTAAGAGGGGGGATTCTGCTGCTATTGGGGGTTTAAAGTTTCAGTTTTACTGTTGTTTGGCATTGTGTATAACGTTGTCCCTGTAAGACAGTATCTTGATGTAGCATGTCTTGATCACACAGCTATTAGTTGGGCTAATGCAGTTTCTCAGAAGCACAGAGGGCGTCTGTCATCAGCCAGATCAATACACAGCATCTGCCATTGGTCCGAGTGACAGACAAGGAGCAAACAGGGTGTTCAGTCCTGCTGACTAAAGGCAGTGAAGCACGCAGGTTGATGTCAGGACATCACCTCTGCAGGCTCCACGTGCCAGAGCTGTCACTTCCCAGGAAAGGCTTTCCTGGGTAAAGCAGCAGCTGGGGTTTCCATCAGGAGCACGCCAAGCAGCTGCTAGTGCTGGTGCCTGTCAGAAATAGATGTGCAGACAAGATCAGGCTGCAGATACACCCCATGCAGCTGAGATCCTTCCTGAACGTGGTTGTGTCACAACCTCGCATTGCACAACCCTGCAGCTGAACCTTGCCTGCTTCCACCTCGCTGTGAAATCACCCCAGTAAAGCTGCCTTTGTCATCTCTTACAGCACAACATGCCTTTTTGGAGGATCACAAACCACGCAGACCTCGTGTCCCTTCACCAAGCCCTGGAGCTAGACTTCCTGTAGGAAACCAGAGCAAAGGTGTGACTGCAGCTCCTGCAAGGCCTCTCTGTCACTGGGGAGGCAGAAACCTCGTACATTTGGGGACTCACTTTTCAGCTTGATGAAGACAACCTAGCCAAGGAGAACTGTGCAGCACAGCGCAGCCCCAAGGCACGGCCTCAGGAGCAGGGACCCTGCCAAGTACAGAGGTGTCCTGTGAGGAAGCTCTGGGCTCAGCAGAGCTGGAGCAGAGACTCACCGAAGCCAGCTGAGCTCCTCTAGCAGGTAGTCTCCAGAGGGAGAGGGTGATCCAACACAAGTGCTTGTAGGAGCTTTCTCCCTTCTGTTCAGCTTAGTTATAGAACCCAAGTAAACACAAAACCTTATTTTTATAGCGCAATCCTGATGGCAGAGCTGAAGCTCCCTTGTTCCACGAAGCCAATGAGAGCTGTGGGCTTTTCATAGGAAATACTAATGAAAGTGGCAAAAATACCTCCACTGCTGTGAAATGTGTCCTCTCTCCTTCCCTGTTCAAAGCAGTTAACTTATTACAATGTCCTCATGTGATTTCCTCAGTGTGGGATTACTGGAAAATAGAGAAGGGAATGGGCCTGGGCTACGTGGGTCCTTGTAGAGGAAGGTCTTGGTGTTGAGTTGATCCTGGTGGCTTCCAGTCAATGTGTGCTTGAGTGTTAACCAGCAGGAGATCCCTGGATTCCATCCATGACCCAGGCCATAGATCCCACAGATTTTCCCTGAACCAGGAATACAACTGCCTGTGAATGATGCAGCACAACACCACTGCAGACTGCTCCAGTGGGAACAGTCCTCACCTGGACTAGGAGTAGTTTGAGAGGACTGAATCCTCATGGATGTTACGAAGAAGGGAATGGTTGTTAACCTTCACCTCACTTTCCTGACTCCATTGTGAGAGGAAGTTCCCTTTAGTAGAACCTGATTCCATTTTCTTGTATTCTTCTTTGCATAACGACATAGTTAGAAACAAACCCCTTGTTAAGAGGGGCTTCCTTTTGGAGGACACTGTGACGTGGCAGCCCGGAGACCATTGGCTTTAGGAATGATGGCTCGTTGGAAAGAGGCTGGAGTCCATGCCCTGCAGTGCCAGGAACCAGGAATTGTGCCAGGTCAGGCTGGGTTCAGTGGTTTCTGCCTCCTCCCTGTACCTCCATGGCACCAACCCAGGCAGTGCCGGGGGTCCCTGCACAGAGATGTCTGCTCTGTCCCACCACACACCTCTGCTGAGCTCTGGTCCCCAGCCCAGCATCACCCTCCTGGGACACACAGGGCCAGGGCTGACCCCATGGCTCTGCAGGGAGGATGCTGACCCTTGGGGCTGTACCACAGCCACGGGGGCTGTGTTTGCTGCAGACCTTCCATGGCATTAGTGACTGAGGATTGATTTCCATCAGTGCTGGGGCCCATCATGGAGATGTGCCTGGAGCAGGGGGTTTGGATGCTCAGGGGCTGCACAGAGCTCTCGCTGGGGTTCAGATATCCCAACCTCCAGCTTTGCTTCCTGGTTTTTAATCAGAGATTCCCCAAGGTGGTCACAGGAGGGCTCTGCTTCCCATCCAGCTCCTTGCTAGCTGTTGGCCTCGTGCTCTCAGCTCAGGTGGATGCTCTGGGTCTGCATATTTCCCCAGGAGCTCTGCTTTAGGACCATGCCCCTTGTCTAGAACCTGCTGCCTGCGAGCATCCTGCCCTCCGGTCCCACCAGAGGAGCCAGTTTGTGCTGTGGGTGTTACTGAGCAGCTCAGAGGAGGGGATGGAGCAGGAGCCCATGGGAGATGGTCCATAAAGGGACCTGGGGGTCTCTGCCTCAGCTGGAGTGCATCCGTGCTGTGCCAAGGAGCAGCCCCATTGCTCCCAGGGTCTGAAACGGTACCAGAGGGTCAGGACTCGCTCGCAGGCAGAGGCTGTGCTGGATCCTGCACCCCCCTGCGGGTCCCCAGCCCATCCAGAGCCCTCCTGGAGCTGTCCCAGCCTGGTTGGGAGCACGCTGGCTCCCGTGGCCATACTTTGGGATTAAACCCTGTGCCTTAACCTCCCACCAGCCGGCTCCTCAGGGCCTGCAGAGGGGGTGCTGGCCCCAGAGACCCCCCCAGCTCGCCTTCAGCTGCCTTGACTTCAAACGGCTCTAAGGGAATGCTAAGACTTCAGCAGCCTTTTCCCTGAGTGTGGAATGGCTGCAGCCAGGGATGCTCCCCACGGGTCCTTGAATGTATGTGAAGTCCTTGTCTAAGCAGAGGCTGTTGGTACGTTGTGTTCATGTCATACAGGCTGCCCTGGCTGTGCTCATTGAGGGTTCCCATCTCCTGTGGGGCCGGAGCAGCAGCTCTGTCCCTCTGGGTTTTGTCTCTGTGCTCCTGTTCCCCCTGACCTGGTACCAAAGCCAGTGCAGGGGCAGCAGCAGGGCTGTGCCCCCCCCCATGTGCTGCTGATTCCCCTCCAGCCTCCCCACTGAGGCTCAGACCCCCCTGTCCCGCTCTGTTCTCTGCCTCCAGGGCTGAGCCAGGAGCAGCAGGGCCCCAGTGCAGCCCCTGCTGCAGGAGGAGCCCTGGGTACCGCTGGCTGTGGAGCCGTTGCCTGTTCCTGGTCTGCAATGGGAACTGTCCTGTGAACTGGAAAACAAATAAAGCCTTTATTTTCTATAGCCACTGCTTCAGCCTCTTCTGTCCCCTGCACCCCCGGGGCTGGGCTCGGGGGCACCGGCACCATTAAGGGGGGGTCCTGTGGGAGGCAGTGGTGGAGGCACCCAGAGGTACCGGCTCCTGGGCTCTGCTGTGGTGCCTGGGGGGGGCTCATGGTGCTTGGACAGCAACACCAGCACTGAGCCCTGGCCTTGGGCTCCTCTTGCCATAGCAGCAGCAGTGGGGGGGTACAGGGCCCTGCCCGGAGGGTGGGTGATGGGGAGCACCCGGGATGTGCTGGGCCCTGCTCAAGTGGTGGCACGGAGCCGGTGGCAGCCCCTATAGAGGGGAAGCAGCAACCACATCGCACCCACTGGGCCCAGCATCAGAGGCACGGGCCAGGGAGCAGGAACGCAGCAAAGGGACCCCGGGGGGTCTGTGTTGAGCCACCCTGGGGCTGCTGTCCCTGCCTCCTGCTGCCTTCCCTGTCGCTCCCTGGGTGCAGTGATGATAACAGCCCCAAAGAACTCACCATTGCCTTGTTTTGGGGTTTATTTTGGAAAAAGCTAATAAATAGAAGAAAAAGCTACAGGGCAGCACAGCCACACGGGCTGGGCCCCCCAGCACCATGGGGGGAGACGTGGGACCCCCCCGGCTGCCCAAAACAGCCCCGGGAAACAGAACCAGGAGCAGGATGAACAAACCCTGTGCAAGTCACTGGAGGAACGGGCCTCAGGCAGCAGCCTCTGCAGCAGCAGCCCCGTTCAGGAAACGCTGCCCCATAGGCCAGGAGATGGAGAACTGGGTCTGGACCAGCCACCGCATCCGCCTGTTCACGAGGTCTGGCTCCGAGGGCGGCGGAAGCTCCATCCCACCGCTCGTCCCGTTGGCATCCATCTCGTCAAAGCCGCCTTCCTCCTGTGCCCGCAGGCTGGGGTGCAGCCACTTGTAGTAGGTGACCCTCAGCGCCAGCCCCAGCAGGTAGCAGGGCAGGGCGGCCGAGACCACGGGGATGAGGTAGGAGTGCTCCTCGGAGGAGGAGCGGCACCAGAGCCAGGAGAGGGCCAGCAGGGTGCTGTCCACCAGGATGAAGCTGTGGTAGATGATGCTGCGCTGCAGCGTCCTCCCCGGGGCCACGTTGAACCAGCTGAAGTAGAGGATCACGGCCACCATGGCCCGGTAGAGCTGCTCGGGGCCCGGTGACTCCATGAAGTCGGTGCCCTGCAGGCTGACCCAGAGGAACATGGCCAGCCACACGAGCGGGAAGTGCACAGCCGCGGCGTAGGGCCAGAGCAGGGAAAAGAGGGCGACGGTCAGGATGCGGGGGCAGATGAGGAAGAGGTTCCACAGGAAGTAGATGATGGAGGAGCTCACGCTCAGCTCGTACTTGTCCTGCAAGAAGGAGCGCAGGGACTGGTGATAGTCCACGAGAGACCAGGTCACACACAGGAACGCGGTGCAGAGCCCCAGTCCTGCAAGCACAGCGGTGCAGATGCTGAGGGCAGATTGAGGGGGGTCCAGCTCAGCTCAAGCCACCCCCCCATGCCCAGCATTGCTAAAATGAGCTTCCCACCAGCTCCAAAGCAGTGGGGCAGAGCCTCAGCACCTGCGGCTCCCCATGGTGGAGGCAGAACCTGGCCTCTCCCAAGGGATGGGGAGGCAGCGATGGGGCCGAGCGCGGGTCCCATCCAGGGCAGCCCCCAACACACACGGGCACTGCAGTCACTCGCTCCCCACCTCAGCACCCTCAGAACACCCCTTCAGTGTCCTGCGCTCCCCCCTCTGCCCACATCCACATCTCCATCCCCATCCACTCAGCATCCCCAGCAGGCTCCCGATTGCATGCCCTGCATGCAGGGGAAGGACCACGGAGCTCCCTCCCGCTTCAGCCCTGCCCATCCCCTCTGCCCCATTCACCCGCTCGGACCCCCAGCCCCTCACCCTGGGAGGGCTCTGCCCTGTTGGTCTGCAGGACGACGCCGAGGAGCAGGGTGAGCTGCGGAGTGTTCTCCAGGAAGGTCTCGAAGAGGCGCAGCATGCTGATGTCGTGGCACAGGAAGGCCATGTGCCTCTGCTCCTCGCCGGCCTCCTCCTTCGCCCTGCACACCTTCCAGCCCACCTTCAGCGCATGGAGGCACCTGAGCGGCCATGAGGCAGCGGTGAGGGGCTGCGGGCTGCGAGCGCTGCAGGACCCGCAGGACGGCTCCAAACCCCTCCCGCCCCTTCCCAGGCAGCGGCCACCCGCAGCCGCAGCGCTCGGCAGGAAGCCGGCCCAGCGGGAGAGCCCGGGACGGGACAGGACGGGGCTCCGGGGCGTTCCCCGCTCCCAGGCTCCGGCCGCGGGAGCTGGAGCAGAGCCGGGGCTCTGGGACTCAGACGGCGCCCAGCGGGGCCGGGGCAGCACCGGGGACCCCCATTCCCATCCCCCGGCGTCCGGGGACCCCCGGAAGGGGCGGGGAGCGGAGGGGGGGGGGAGGGGATGGACGCGGTACCTGCAGAGGAAGCCGAGCTGGAGGAGGTGGAGGGCAGCGAGCAGCGGCGGGGCCGCGGCGGGGCGCAGGGCGGGCGGGTCGGAGCGCAGCCAGAGCCAGCTGCAGGCCTGGGTGGCGGCCGAGCCGGCGGCGCGCAGCGCCAGCACCAGTGCGGCCAGGCCGGGCCGCCCGCCCCGCGCGTACCCCGCCGCCACCCACCCGTCCGCGCACACGTCCAGGGCCGCCGCCAACGTCCCCGCCGCCGCCAGCGCCAACTGCAGCGGCCCGAACCCCCGCGCCATCCGCGGCCCCGGCACCCGCAGCGGCCACGCCCCTCGGGCATCAGGCCCCGCCCCTCGGGTATCGGGCCCCGCCCCTCGGGTATCGGGCCCCGCCCCTCGGGCCCCGCCCTGCAAGCACCGACGGCCGCGGCTGCTCCCGTGCCCTCTGCCCGCGGTGCGGATGCCCCGGCAGCACCCGCCCTGTTCGCTGCCCTGCTCTGCACCCACGGCCCTGCCCTGCACTGCAGGAGCAGACACGGGCGAGCTGCCGGTCACTGATAACACACACCCCTCCCTTCACCAGTGAGGTTCATGGAGAAGCTGGCACAGCCCCGCTAAACCACGTGTGTGTGAGTAGGGAAGGGGGCAATGCCCAGCGGAAGGAAGAACCCAAGTGCACACAAAGGGAAGCGCGGTTTATGCTCTGCAAGTGGGGAAAGATACAGTTTTAATTTAAAAAATAATAACAATCAAGCTTCTCCCCCCCGAGCCTCACCTTGGGCACTGACCCGTGGAAATCCCAGCCAGAGCCCGCTGGAGTTCATCCTCTGGCACAGGAAGAGCCAATCCCACCGCAGCCAAAGGTGAGGCAGCTGCTGGACAGGGCCACCAAAACACGATCTTCCTGGTTATCTGTCACGGTCCTCCCCGAGGAGAAGCGGGTGCTGAAGTGAGGAACCCACCAGGAGCACGTGGCAGGTCACAGCAATCACCCTGAGGAGGTGAAGTCCATGAGTGATGCTGGTCTGATTTGTGAGCTCATCTCAGCAGTGCCAGCGAAGGGAGAGCGGCTCCTGGTGCAGGTCAGCCTGGAACAAGACTTTGTGACGGTCACTGCCCCATCCTCGTACTTGAAGCTTTTCTGGACGATTTCAATCAACATCACAGAGCTTTTAGTAAAAGCCACCAATTCGGTCTTGGTTTCCAAGTGGATTCTCAGTGCCAAACCATTCGCAGTTACTGATTCATGTGCATCGTCAACTCGAGCTCTCTCCATTTCCTCCCAGTCACTGCAGCACTTGCTGGGGACTGATGAGCCCTAAGAGCAAGCAGGAAAAGAAGAGCCAAACACCAACGAGAGCAGAGGCGGAGCTACTGGTTCCAACACACTCCTCGTATCGTGTAAAATCAAGCTCCCTGATGGCACAGACGTGATCGACGTGGCAGGACTCCTCACACAGGGCCAGATCATAGCTGACAGAGTTGAACTCATAGTACTGCTGCAGGGAGCGTGGATCATGGGATATCCTCTCCAGCACTGTCTGCATGGAGTGCGCAGAGCCATCCGGGACCTGGAAGGCCTCTGTCAGCCGGTACTCTTCCTCCCACACAGGGGACTCTTCCTCCCTCAAGTTGGCACGAGTTAGGTTCAGGTAGTAAGTCACCATGTCCTGCAGAGGGAGGAAACAGAGGGGACAAATCAGGAGAGGATCAGTCCTGGAGTGAAATGTGGGATAGGATGGGATGGGCTCAGCCCCGCTCCCAGGGCCTGGGGGGCAGCACCAAACCCCTGCCCAGTGGGGGGTTCCCACTGTCACTGGGGACAGACACCTCAGTGAGAGCCTCAGAGCTCCCCACTGTTTGTACAGGGGTGGCTCTTCTCTGCTCCACTGCACACATCAGGAAACTGAGCCTGGCCTGTTACTCACTGCCAGCCAGGGCTGCAGGAGCGTTACTGACTCAGGGAGGTCATTTTGTCAACTGAACATTCACAGCTTCTGTTCTCAGCCTCTGCCCGCCCTCTCTGCCTCCCTACCTCCCTTCCTCCCTACCCCTCCACAGCCTATTTTAGCATTCATGCCTTATGCCATAAATAGCATCTACAGAGCTGCTTTACCCATTGCAAAGAAAGGCACGGACACCCCATCCTCTACAAATAAGAGGCACAGGGAGCAGAAGCTGCCCCTACGATCCACCTCAATTCAGATCCATCACAAATGAACCCATTCAGCAAGCAGGGAGGCCCAAATCATTTCCTAGACGGTTAAAAGTTTCTGGAGAAGGTTTTGAACAGTGTGTGTCTTCCCAGAGCAGTTCTGCAATCCACATTACCCAGGCAGCAAAGAAGTGCCAAAGGAAACTAGCTAAAGACATGAAGAACACGACCAAACCTGCCCTGTGCTGCCCTGGGGAACTAGTCCCAGGCTGGCTGGGGTCACCCTGCCTTTACTCATTGATGCTCTTGCTAAATCCTTGTGCTACACAAGAGACAAGCATCTCAGCTGAGGTCCTCTCCCACAGAGCCGCTTGGCTCCTTTAGTCCTGCCTGTTAAAACCACATGGAGGAATTGCAGTACTGCCCTAGGACTGCGGTGTGCAGCACGTGGGGATCCCCTACCAACACCTGAAGGGTGGCTGGGTCGTAGTCGATCACCCGAATCCCAGGGTTGTTGGCTCCATTGTTCACTCCAGGCAATGTTGTTTTCCAGGGGGTCACTCCAGGCGCCAGGAACATGACATTGATTGGGGAACCTGAATAGAAGGGCAAAACAACCCATGAATGGGGGACCTTGGGTAGTGCCACACGCACCCTGTCCACACAGAGGTGAGCACCCTGCTGCACACAGCAGCTCTGCCACCAGCCCGACTCACACCACCACATACACAAAGATCAGCACATGGAATGCACACATGGGACTGCTGCAGAGAGCTTTGCATTGCTGCCAAAGACTCATGCAGCAAGGGCTGAGGTGGAAGAGAACTGCGCTCAGCAAAGGAGAGCAGAGCAGCACCTGTAACCCCAACACAGACTCGTAACTGAACCCTTAAATCCTGGCTGATGTCCAAACCCCATCAATAGGGAGAAGGCAAGAAGCTGCAAGGCACTGAGGGGAAACAACAAAGTTTGCTCCTCCCCGTTTGGAGGAGGACTGGAGGTGGAGATCAAAACCACTGTTGCCCCTTGCTGAGCAAAGCATTTCACAAGCCTTTTCTGGCTTCTGGGCTGCATTCAGCCCAACAGCCATGGTAAACTCCAACCAGCACCAGTACCTGCATCACTGTAAACCATCCGGAAGGTGTCCGTGTGGTGGTGCCCAAAGAACTGAGCAGCGATGACCCTGTGGTGCTTCTGCACCATTTGCAGGTACCGCTCATTAAAGCCACTCCGGAACCAGGCCTTGCCTCGCTTCTTCTCGAAGAAGCCAGGAGGGACGTGCCCCACGATGTACACCTACAGAGACAAGAGCTGCACTCAATGCAAAGCCCGCACATCCCATTGTCCTGGTGTGACTGCAGAGGGGAGAGCTGGAGCAGGATGAGCTTCCAGGCTGGGAGAAGCCCTCTATAGTTTATTGATCTCTTTCAATACCATTTCCTCTGCTCTAGAGGCGTTGGTCAGCGTTTCCTCCAGCCACTGGAACTGCCCCGCAGGATCCTCCTCACCAGCTGTCTCATTGTTCTGGTCATAGTACAGATTGGTGTTGAGGACAACCACTCGCCCCCTTGTCCTTGAGCCAGGCAGCTTCTCGCTGTAGAAACCTCCTGAAAAACACAATCAAGAGGGCAAGAGCTGCAGCTCTGGTCACGCTGCTTGCTACGACCCCAGATCCCTTTGTTTCCATCCCTCTCAGCTCCCATTGGCCATAGTGCAGCAGTCACCATCCCGACACAGGGCCAGCAGTGCTGTGACCACTCCAGGGTGGGGATTTGAAGCAACTCTTTCCCTTGTGTGCCTCTTGTCGTGTCGATGCCTCTTGAGGTGAAGGGAGACCCAATGTGCAGCAGCAGGAGCTGATTCAGCTCAGGAAGCCACAGTGCTGCCAACACCAGCAGCTTGCTTAGGAGATCCTTCTTCTTCCCACTGGAGGGACACTTGCCAGTAACTTGAGAAAATGAGTCACTGCTAAAGCAGACATTTATTTTCTCTCAAGCAGGAGAACTCAGTGCCAGAAATCAGCATTAAATTGGGCCCTTCCTCTGCAAATACTCTATAAATACTATTGCTCTGAGCACAGAAGCAGGGAAAACCATCCACGGCTTTCTCCTGACCACCCCTACCCCTCACAGCACTGTCAACATCAGTTAGTGGTCCCCAACCTGCTCTGAAGAGAGGAATGGAAGCATTGCTCAGCCAGGGACGCCACAGTTCAGCTGTTTGGTTGTAGATCCTGTGGTCCTTCCCTGGAAACTGGTTCTTGGGATGGAAGTCGTGATTGCCCATCGCCGCGTAGACCTTGGTATCTAGAGGCAGAGAAAAGGAGGTGCAGAGCAACCCATGCTTGCTTCAGAGCTCCTCAGCACTAAAGCTCCCTGAGGTACTCACAAGCTTGGGAACAGGAACCTGACTTGAGAGCTTTGCAAACAGCCACCTGATTGCATTGTCTGCAAAGACCACCCCTCCTTGGGGCAAGCTATGGCTTGGCAGGTGAATCCATGAGCTCTCACCACCAACAACGCTCCTTCCCCCACTGCTGACATGGAAATCCTGCAGCCTTTTCTGTCCCAATGACTAAGGACAGAAGTGTTCCTTCCCCTCTCTTCTGAGTTAACCTGAATCACTGAGCATGCACCAGACGCCTCAGTTCAGACACGCCTCATGCCATGCAGCAACCAGGGAGAGAACAAACAAGCCCCAACAACCACAGCCCTTCCATGCCTTTCCCCTCCCCAGTTCTGTCATTCCTCCACCCTGGTAAGCTCTTCCCATCAGACTCTGTGCCCCTCTGCCCTTCCCATCCCCTCACATCCCACCTGGAAACGTCTCCCTTATAAGAGAAGTCAGATTCTCTATTATGTGCAGAACCTTTTCTTCTCCGAGCTTCTCGTTGGGCACGTGAGGAGTATCATCTCTGGAAGAACAAAAGCACAGTCACTGTCTGTGACTAACAGGGCATGAGGAGCCAGCCAGAGAAACGTGCTTCCTTCTCTTTGTGCCTCCTAGAAAACAAAGGTGCATAGTTGAAGCTTTTGGGGGCAGAAACCAGCACCATAGGGACTGGGCAAGGCACTGGAGCCTCTTTCCAAGGAATAATTCAAAGTGAAAACAGGCTCCATGTCATTCTACCTTGAAAACCCTATACACAAGCATAGGAAGTAGAGGATCACTCTGCTTTGGTGTGCTTAACAGACACTAAAGCTGGCAAGAAATACTGCAAGAAACAGCATTTTGTAATCTCGGGTGAGCTCCTGCTTGGCAATAGTGAAGCAAAGCTGCTTACACGGCTGTTTGAACAGCACAACACCAACTCCCCTTCAACTGAACCAAGGCAATGCCTCCACTAAGGCAGGGACCAAGGTCTGCCTCAGTCTGCCTTCCCACTGACATGCTTATGGTGCCTGCAGCAGACCCTGGGCTGTGAACAGGCCCATCGAATGATGTCAACAACGGGGTGAAACAGTCGGAAGGAGAAAGAAGACTCAACGTAAAGCCATAAGGATCTAGAACTGCTTTTAAGTAGGAACAAGCACCCGCAGAGGCAGAAAACACAGGGTCAGGCAAACAGCCCTGCAAACTGGGGCTGGAGGTGACAGCAGATCACAGGCACGTTACAAGAGGGCATACAGGCTCGCAATAACCATGTAAAATAAAGCTGTTACTGTCTGCGGGTGCTACTACGGCCTCCCGTGGAACAGGGCACCCACTGCTACTGGGAGGAAACCTGAGGTTCTTCGTGCTTCTAAATCAGAGCAGCCCCCTGGTCACACAAGCCTCCCGGGTGCCTTCGAGGAGCTGCTGGGGCGGCCGGGCACTGAACCCCCCTCCCGGCCCCGGTCCCGGTCCCGGCCCCGTCCTCACCCGGTCCAGAGCACGAAGTCCGGGCGCTGCAGAAGGCTCCTCATGGCGCGCACGGCGGAGGCGAGCAGGCGCCAGGGCGCATCGCACAGGTAACTGCCCCAGGGCCCTGCGGCGGGCCCGGCGCGGGAGCCACCCGAGGGGCACACCTGCCCCGTGCCCGCCGCCGGGTCGTAGTCGGGGTCCCAGTGGAGGTCGGTGATGTGCCAGAACCGCCCTGCCGCCGCCGGGACACGCCGGGGCTCAGCGGGGCCGGGAGGGGGGGGGTGCTGGCGGCGGGCACCGCTCGGGAACCCCCCGCCCGGCCTCCCCTTACCTGAGAGGGCGGCGGCCAACGGGCAGAGCAGGAGCAGCGCGGCGGCGCGCATGGCCCGGTGCAATGCGCCGAGGGGCGGGGCGGGGCCGAGGGGCGGGGCGGGGCCGAGGGGCGGGGCCCTACCCTGCTCCGCCTACCGACAGCCTCCCTGCCCTCAGCGCGGCCGGGCAGCGCCCGCACTCAAGATGGCACCGACCGCTTCCCAGCGGCCTCCCGCTATTGGAGGAAGCCGGAAGACGGAGCGCTGCGATTGGCTGCGGGGAGCGGATCGGGGCCCACACGCTAGGCGGGAGCCGGAGGGACGCGGGACGGGAGTGCGGCCGCAGCCATGTGGAGCGGGCAGGGTGCGGAAGGGGGGGTCCGGGCCTTGACTGAGGGGGGAATCGGCCGGGAGCCCACACAGGGTGTCCGGTGATGGCGGCGGGGATGCGGTGTCACCGCTATCCCTTCACGCACTCCCTTTCCCCCCCTCAGGCACTTTCGACACCGGGTACGGCAGCGCGGGCGCCGCGAGGCCCGCGGGCGGCTTCACCTCCCCCGCCGGCGGCTTCAGCTCCCCGGCCGGCACCCAGGCGGAGAAGAAGCAGGTAAGGCCGGGACAGGGCCTCGGGGGCGCGGGGTCCGTGCGGCGCTGACGGCCCCGCCGCCCCTTGCAGCGGCTCCGCTCGCAGAACATCGTGCCCTGCACCGTGTCGCAGCTGCTGGCGGCCGAGCAGGTGGAGGAGACCTTCCGCATCGGCGAGGTGGAGATCGCCCAGGTGAGCCCCGCGGAGGGAGGGAGGGAGGGCGGCGGGCCCCGGGGCTGCCGGGGTGAACAAAGGGCCCTGCTCCCGCCGCAGGTCACCATCGTGGGGATCATCCGGCATGCGGAGAAGGCACCGACCAACATCCTGTACAAGGTGGACGACATGACGGCAGCCCCGATGGATGTCAGGCAGTGGGTCGACACCGATGTAAGTCTCAGATGCGCGTCTGTAAAAGCTTCAGGGAGCAGTGAAGGGAGGGAAGCTGTGCGGTCAGGATGGCCCAGGTGGGAAGGGGGCTGTAAGGATCATCATGTCCGGTTCCCTGCTTCTCCCAGGATATTTGAGCGAAAAGATGTAGACATATTTTAGGGATTAATGTGTCTGAAATCCACAGGAGATGCTGCTGTAGCAGAGATCACTGGTGCTGTGAGTCTTCAGTTTTGTAACTCACATGTGATTCTATATTGAATCACTGTGTATAACCTCTTAGAGTGTAGTAGCCGAAGTGGAACTGTTACTTAACAGCTGAACTGAGAGATGTGTGCTCAGGACAATACAAAGAGAGTGAACAGAGATTTGCACAGAATCCTGGAATGGTTTGGGTTGGAAGGGGTTTAAAGCCCGTCCACTTCCAACCCCCTGCCATGGGCAGGGACACCTTCAAAACACATGTATGGTGCGCTCCAATGAACAAGTATTCTGTTCTCTTTTATTTATTGTTATGCTTATCAAACTGCTCTTCCTGGATGTGCCATTTGTGTTTGCTTGAGATAAGCCTCCTTTCCTAAGCCATCTATTAGGAAGTATAGCTATGAATGAGAAAACCCTCCCTTTCTCCTTCTCCTCTCTATCAGGAAGCAGGTAGCGAGAATGTGGTGGTACCTCCAGGAACTTATGTCAAAGTTGCTGGTCATCTTCGCTCTTTCCAGGTAAGATCACGTCACCCGTGTCTGGGTACCCAGGTCCTGGGGCTGGAGCAGTGGCTGAGGACTGATGATCTGGCTCAGTGTTAGTGGGCTTCCTTTAGAATACCCACTTCATTGTGGTCCTTGCTCATCCTCTCATTGCACTCCAATGAACAAGTATTTTGTTCTCTTCTATGTATGTTTGGGTAACTGCTCTTACTAGACATGCCATTTGTGTTTGTCTCTACCGCCACCATCCCTGTTCTGGCACTTTCCTGCTGCTGTGGTGTTAATTTTCATTCTTTGCTTTCTTCTTTTTCCTCCCTGAAAGAATAAGAAAAGTTTGGTGGCGTTTAAGATCATGCCTCTGGAAAACATGAACGAGTTCACCACACACATGGTAGAGATTGTCAATGCACATATGATCCTCAGGAAAAATCTTATGGTATGTATGCTCTTGGCCCTGACTGGGTCACTGGTTGTCTGCCAGAGAGAGGGACCTCTTGGTTTGTTGGGGAAGCTGTAGATCACTTGTGGGGCTGGGAAGCTTAAAGCTGGTGGAGCAGTGAAGGTGTAACAGGAATCATGGCTTCCTTGGAGAGAGCGACTGTGTTGCAGTCTGTTTCCAGTGGTTTCTTTGGGTCTCTGTTTGTAATCACTGCAGTAACAGCGAGTCTTCTGGCCAGTCTCACCACAGCAGCTTTACTCTTGTATTTCAGTCAGCATCAAAAGCACCTCAGTCCTTCGGCGCTGGGATGGGTAACGTGGGGGGCTATGGAGGAGGTGGCAGCCTGCCAGTGAACGGGCTCACAGCGCACCAGACTCAGGTAGGTGCCAACAGCTCCGCAGTGGAGGCTGCTGCAGTGGTGTAGGACAAAGCTCAGTGACTCTTTGAAGATGGATGGTTCTTGCCCAGCCTTGTTCTCCATCCACAGTAAGAGAAGCTCAGCTGGATGTTGATGATGGTTCTTGCTTTTCCAGGTGCTGAACTTGATTAAAAGCTGCCCTGTGCCAGAAGGTATGAGTCTTCAAGAGCTGAAGGTTCAGCTCCACAACGTGAGCATGTCAACCATCAAGTAAGTCTACAGAAATGAAGGATGTTCTGGAAATGCAGTCAGTCCTTCCTGGAGTCGGGTCAAAGGAGGAAAATAGTGAGCAAGCCCTGATCCTTACTTGTGGAACAGCGCTGGTAATTTCAGATGTTCCCAGTAGGATGCAGTAGTGAGCTTAGAACGAGCCAATGGCACTTGAAGGGGTGATAAAGTGCTTTGCTCCCTGTTTCCAATGAGGCTCAGTAGCAAACTAACAGCACCAGGAGTGCCTCAGTATCCCAGCAGTAGTTTCTCCTGTTCGAGGCCTACCTTACTCTCTGCACGCTGCTCAAAGCTTGGGAATAGAGTGTTTCTGTTCTCCTGTGCTGTCTCTTACAACTTCTTCCCAAGGCTTAGGAAGCCAGTAAAGGGGCTTGCTAAGTTAGTCAGCAATTGTTGGGTTGTTTTTTTCCTTCAAGGCAAGCTGTTGAATTCCTTAGCAGCGAGGGACACATCTACTCCACTGTGGATGATGATCACTACAAGTCAACGGATGCTGAGTGAAGCTGCTTCCAGCTGGATTTAGTTCTAAGCAAATGCTCATCCATGATTCAAGTTACCCTGCTGAGCTTTGCGACATGGAAGGTGGTCTTTGCCCTTTCTAACCTCTAGAAGTCCCAGTTATCCTGAGCACCTCCTCCTTGGAAATCAAGGATAAGCAGAACATGTAGGATTCTATGAAGTGCAGTCAGTTATATGCTGTGACTGAAAGCATGGACAGATATAGGCAGACTGAACTCCTCAAAGCTTCGGAGCCTTCAGTCTGTGTTTGACTCCTTAGAGGATGCCTGTGTTAGAAAGAACCTCTTTCAAATCTTGTCCTGTCTTTTGTTTCTAGAGCTGTTTCCCCTGACTCAGCTTTCATTCCATTTCCTTCACAAAGTGGGTAGCCCAGAGTAAGATTCCAGTGATGTACAGTAATCATGATTAGATTTTTCCCTGGTTTACTTTATACAGTTAAATCTGTGTTTGTATTATGAGGTGATCTGGTTACTAGAGCTTTTGAACGTTTCCAGTAAACTTCTAACTTGGGTAGCCTTGTCTGCGTGTGGCTTCAGAGGCTTTTCTTCCCTAAAGAACACTGTCTGCGTTGCCAGGACCTACCCATATAGGTAAAACCCAGCTCCTGCTTTTGGAGTTTCTTTACCTATAATTCTTTTTTCCTTAGCTTTTAAAGTAAATGGCTTTAAAGTAAATGTCTGGACAAATAATTTCTTAGTACTAGTGAAGAAAGCGCCATTTATCAGTGTTACAAATAGAATCATAGAATAGTTTGGGTTGGAAAGGACCTTAAGATCATCCAGTTCCAGCCCCCCTGCCATGGGCAGGGGCACCTCACACTAAACCATCTCACCCAAGGCTTTGTCCAACCTGGCCTTGAACACTGCCAGGGATGGAGCCGGGAGCATTTCTGCCACGAAAAGCATTTTAGCTCAAGGTCGCATTAATTGCATTGCCTGGAACAGGTTTTTCTTCTTTATCTTTGAAGCATAGCATTATTTCAGGAAGGAGCAGGGTTCTCGCTGTTGATGTGTCAGGGTGGAGATAACAGGGAGCCCAGAGAAGCTGTGGCTGCCCCATCGCTGGCAGTGCTCAAGGCCAGGTTAGCTGGGAGTCAAGCCAAGCTGGAATGAATGAGCTCCTCTCTGCAGCACTGGGGTTCTGCCCTGGGCACAGTGAGGAATAACTGAAAAATCAAAGCTCTTCACTGGGAGAGGGGAAAATACCCAATAATTTGATCTGAAGGGAAATCTATCATTTATTTTCCATCTCTGATTTGAAAGGAGCGCAGTGCGTGATGCAGGAGTGACACCCCTGCCTGCTTTCGGTATAAAGCTCTCCCCTAAGCAGCTGCTCTTCTCCATTCATGCACATCAGGACCATGAGGTCTTTGTCTCTGTCACTTCCCTGGGGCTTTTACCAAATTTCCAGGGAAAGAAAAGTCAAACTTTGGTCCTTATTTGGATTTCAGGTTGTATTTTTGCATCCAATGCCATTAGGGCAGCTCATTGGCCCCTTCTAGGAGCCAAGAGCCTGAAAGAGGGCCACAAGCATGCCTAGAAGCAGGAGAGGACTCCACGTGGCTTCCAGCAGCTCCCCCAGCCCAAACCTCCGGCTGCCATGGGCTTCCTCCATGAAGCTGCCGCTCAGGTCCAGCGGCAGCAGCAGCTCCTCGCCTTCCTCCTCCTCCTCCTCCTCCTCGCCGCTGTGGCGGTGGCCGCAGGCAGGTGCCAGGGCCGTGCCCCTGCAGCCCCAGGGCCTCCAGGCGGTCGCTGACACTGAGCACATGGAGGCCTCGTCCCTCGCAGTCCTGCGTCACCACCACGCGCAGGGCCCAGCCCGGGCACAGGGCGGCTGCCAGCTCCTGCACCCCCATGAACCGGCGCAGCCGCATCCGGAGCAGCCGTGGAGCTGCAGCCGCTGGCCCTGGCGCAGCCGCGGCACCCAGGAGCTCTGGAACACGGCGGGGCCGGCCGGGCCCTCCAGGATCTGGGCCTGGGCCGGCAGCACGTGCGCCATGGGCAGCAGCTCGCTCAGCAGCAGTGGCTGCGAGAAGCGGATGTGCTGCGCCTTGGCCATGACGTCCTCCACGTCCACCTCCAGCGTGGACGGGAGCTTCACCATGTCCCTGCGCACTGCGAGAGCGTGGCTCTCACCGGCCCCGTGTGGGAGAGGAGCCCAGCACCAAAGCAGTGTAGGCTCCTGGCCCTGCAGCACCTCTATTGCAAACCCCGGACATCTCAACACACCCCAGCTCCACAGCATCCATCCCAACCCCACAGCATCCCATCCAACCCCACCACAGTATCCAAATCCAACCCCACAGCATCCCAATCCAACCCCATCACAGCATCCCATTCAGCCCCACACCATCCCAACACAATCCAACCTCCACAGCATCCATCCCAACCTCCACAGCATCCATCCCAACCCCACCGCTCTCCCTGCCCTGACCCAGGGGCACCCCATATCCCGCCCCCATTGTGCCCATCCCGTCCGATGCCCCTCTCACTCACGGTCCATAGCAGTGTGCACCTCATAGACAGGGTGCAGGATCAGTGCACGGGGGCCCAGGGCTCTGCACAGCACCAGCTGTGGCCGCACATTGCCCAGCGCCTGCTGCAGCGTCAGCCCCCGGTCCCTGCCGCCCTCCGGGACAGGTCCCCATGGTGCCGGCTGGAACTCACCTGGGGGCGATGGGGCTGAGCCCATGGGTGCTGCAGAGGGGAGGGAGGACCCCTGGGGCAGGGCTGACCCCACTCACCCTTAAAGGTGGGTGGCAGCTCCCTGGTCTGCCCCGTGCGCAGGTCCTCACAGATGACCTCCTGCAGCACCACGGCTGTGACTCTGAGCAGGACAAGCAGCATTCGTTGCCCGAGATCTCGTACACGGACCCTGCAGGGGGGACAAGGGGGGGTCCTCAAAGGAAACGCCTCAACTAGGTCCAAGCAATGGCCTCGACCAGGACTCTGGGCAGCAGCAGCCAACTGTAAAGCCTGCATCTTGGTGTAAGTGGTTGGGTTCTGCACACTGAGTCACTGAGATAAAAGTTAAGAGATTACAAGAAAAACACAAAACCTCTCTAACAGATGATTTGCTCTAACAGTGATAGCAAATGAGGACACTGCTAGCTAGAAACTCACTAGTCAGAAGGTTACTATCAGCTTCGCTTTTTGCCTTTTGCAAAAGACAGGCTAGGCAGAAACAGCCCTTTTACTAGAGACTGGTTATTCATGCAATTGGTTAGTCTGCTCCCCTCTTCCATCCCCCCAAGAAACAAACCCCAAACCCCATCACCCAAGAAGCAGCAATGAGCACACAGCAAACAATCCATGTAAGTCACACAAAGCTGCTCCTGGGCTGATGACTGGGCAGAAACAAGGGAAGAGCAATGAAGTTCTGTGGGTGAGGGAAGCTCTTGCTGGAGCATCCCTGCACTGCTGCCTCCCAAGTGACTCGAAGCACTTGGCATGATCAGAGGCGTGCACACTGTGGCTGCTCACTCACCTGCTCTGCGCTGGAAGCTTCTCCTGCTCTCCTAAAAGGGCCCAGGGAAAAGTCACCTCCTCTCTAAGAAGTCCTTGCTTCAGGCTTGTCTCTAACACAGGGGTACCTTAATGCACAGCACACTGGGAATAGAACAACTCGCATCAGTGTGTTACTAGCTCCTGGGATACCTGCTGGGTGCTGTGGCCTTGGAAAACCAATGGCAATCCAGGTAATTGGGGTTACAATGACAATCCAGGTAATGCTGTAAGGACAAATGGGCCTGGAAAACACTACCACTATAGCTCAGTCTTTTATTTAGCTACAGACTTTCCCTCTGTGGTCCCACCTCTGCATTCCACATTGCAGAGAGTGCTTTAGATAATCATACAAGCAGACTCCTTTCCTTTAACACAGGAAATTAACTGCTAACCACACCAACACTTAGAATATCAGACCACAAAGCTAACTACTTGACCTGTACCAACTACTTTTACCTATGGCACATCAGCAGCTTGCACATCTTGTGAAGATTCAGCCTCCTGCTGACACAGGAATGAAAATGAAACTGCAAAGCAGATATTGCTGCATTGAGAAGTACTCATCTCTAGCCTAAACAGCTCAACCCTACACTGCAGGCACCTTTAACCAGGTCCCAGTTTACTGGTTTTCACTGCAGCTCTCCCCAGTGAGTCTGGGACAAGCTGCAGACCCAGTGTGACAAAGGAGAGTGCATTTAGATCCAAGGCTCCTCTGCATGCCAGAGGCAGCAAGCTGGGCAATGAGAAGAGCAAAGCTGGGCTCTAAAGAATAACATTCGTGGAGGGAGGATTACGGCAGAAGCTGGTAGAACTTTACCCACAAAGAAAGGCAACTGCTGCTTAAAATCCACTCTTAAGTGTCCCTCTTGTGCACTGCAGCACCAGGCAGCAAAGCAGGTCACGAGCAGAGGAGCTGGGGCAACTTTAAGAGCTGCAGCCTGAGCCAGCCACATGAACAAGACCTGCAGTGACAGCAGCGCTTGGCCACGGCACAGATCCATCCCATAAGCCACAGAATAAAGGTACAGCCTCAGCTGCGGAAGCACGGGCTGGGAACGAACACACTACACTCTCCAAGCTGGCAAAATCTGCATTTAATTTACAACATAGTAAAGGTTACAGGTAAAAAGCTCAACAGAAAGTGTGAAAAGGCCTATTACATATTACACAAGTGTACAAACGTCTGTACAAAGCCCCTAGATGTTACACCGTCCCCTCCTGTACCAGCTGTGTCCCCTAAGCTCTACAATAATGAGAGCTTGTTCAAACCCAGAGAGGAGAGGAGCTTGAAGAGCAACGAGCAGTAAAGCTTCCCTTTTCAAGAAAAACCTTGCAAAGAACAGAACAAAAACCATCCATCAAAAAAGAAAAACCAAACCAAACCAAGAACAAAAGCTGCTCAACTTTTACTTGCCCTAACTAGTCTTACCCTAAAGAGTTGCCTTCATAAAGCAGACTGGCTGGAAAAAGACAATTCTACGTACCAGGAAGAAGCAAACCTAAAGGGAGAAAGATTCTCAGAGTCCCCATGGAGTGTCTGGAAGCAGAATGTCTGAGGACTGAATCAGTCAATAGCAACTCAACACAGCAGCACAACTATCCTGGAGAGGTCCTGCGTTCACCCATCTAACAGCCTGAGCTAGATGGTGCAGGGAGGAGGACAAACCAGTCTCTAAAGCCATCCCTCTTGGGAATGGGGTAGCTCCCAGCTCATTTTTAGCTCAGGAACATGATAGCAACCACTCTGCAGATGCAGAAGTCACACTGATTTTGGAGCATGTGTCCAAACCATGCAGCACACCAGAGGCACTGTCACACTGCTCCAGCAACCACCAGACGTGCACACCTCAACTTGGCCAGGTAGCCACAGTATGGTATGGAATGAAGAGCCTGGCACACTCTGTCATTGTGGTGCATGTCTCCTGGAGAAATCCCCAAACAACAGAGGAATGTCACCACAAAGCTGAACTGCATTATCCAATGTAAAAAGAATCCTGGCAAAACAAGAGCTCTGGCCTTACCTGGTATAAAGATACTGTGTCTGAATACATTTGAATCAGGTGGTGACATCTAAACTTGAGGATCTGAAGTGCCAGAGCAACAACCCAAATCAAGCTTATGTTATTCAATAGGACAAAGTGAAGTAGTCAAAAAAATGCAGTATGATAAAACCAACTTGTGCACTGCTTTATCCAAGGTGAGGCAGATTTTCTACTCAGAACTGATATTCTAGCTCTTAAGTAGCACTGTGTTCTCATCCCTTGTTACTAGTGGCCAAACCAGCAGATTGTGGTTTTAGTTGTTAAACATGCTGATGGCTGCTCATTTCTGTGTGTCTCTTGTTGCATCTCACACATGCTCTAAGCTCACAACTTCCATTTGCAAATACAAATGGAACTATTAAAGTTAAAAGGCCCACCGAGTTTAAAAGGAACTGGTTTCCTCTGTGTTAACTCCACCTTACGTGATCATAGGGGTGAGATCAATCTGACTTGGTTATTTATAGGCAGTGTCTACCCACCTTTCAAATGCTCTGAGGCTTCCCATGCCCAGTAGCATCAACACAAGCTCCCATCCACCCACATGTGCACCCCTTTAGTCCTCAAACATCACAATACTGGGCCACAGCTTGGGAAACCCATCTATTTTTGTCCATTAACTCCATGTCCTCATGAACTAATGGGATGCTGTAGTGTTTGAGGTGGAAAAAACCCCAAAGCTGTAGCCAAACTAAAGTAATACAAAGAAAACCCCAACAATGTCCCACACATTGGTGGGTTTGGAAAATGTACAAAAGAAAAGCTGACCTATATTTTGCAAGTTTTAGAACTCCTATTAATGAGATTTTGAAAAGCTTGGCCCCACAACCATTCACTTCTGCTAGAAGGGGACCTGCTATATGCAGGTCCAGTGGCAACAACGTGACTTGTAGTGAGCACGCCACCTCCAAATGTGGATTTGCAGGGTCATGCCATAAATGAGCATTAAGTTGTGTGATGCTGCCCCTTCAACCTCTGGATCAAAACTGAGAGTAAAGACCTCTGGGGACAGTAATGGCTAAGAAAAGGCTGCCAGATATCTTTGTTCAAAAGGAGATGGGAGCTGTAATTCTTTTTTTCCTTTAACAGACATATAAAAACGTTTGAAGACAGATCTTTAAAGGATGTTTCACTTCTTCAATCTTGGTATTACATCTGGTTAGGACACTGAAATCTTAAAAAGACGATACTGCACAGCAACAGTTTCTGGAGTTCGTGACTCCCATCCTCACTCCACAAACTCCAGCTCAGATCAGCAGGGAAGGGGTTGGCTTCTTGCCTGGCCATGCCTCCTTTGCATATTTCTTCTTCTTGGGTTCATTCACAGCTTCAGGATTAAAGACAGCAGGGTTTGGAGCTGGGTTCATGTTGACTGTTGAGGGCGCAACAGGAGTCAAGTCCACATCTGGGGCGAGATTGGGGTAGGGCATTGGCAGGCCACCAATGAGTGCTGTCCCATGGCCACCGTGCGACTGGGACCCTGCCTCATTGTGGGTTGGAGGTAGACCCCCGTACAATCCTCCGCTGTAGGGGAAGTTTTGCATCCGTCGTGATGCAGAATCATCTGTGGTCAGGGAGCCTGCGTTCTCCAACCGCTTCTTCTGGAGACGGAAGTATTTAAACATTAGTCAGAACACATGAAATAAGCAAGTTGTAGAAACTGGCCCCCAAAAGGCACGTTGAGCAGCCATGCAAAGTGGTTACAGACCACGTCCCAGTAGATTTCTTCTGGGTTTCTCTGAAAACCACTTAATAATAAACTCTTAAAGGTGCACAATGCAGGAAGGGGTGACAGAAGCTGAACTTAGGTCAGGTCTGAGCACTTCTTTATCTCCTGTACACACCTGGCAGTCTTGAGCTTGTCCTAAACATACGACTGAGGAGGTCTTTAGTCAGTAACACAAACCCTCCTCCCCCCAGTAACAAACTGCAACTCCTAGATCACTTGGGTGATTTTGTCTAGCTCCTGATCATCTGGATCTCCTGCAGCCTGGGGTTTATGTAGAATTATCCTTTTCCACACACATTATTTCATGCATACTAGCAACAAGTGAAGTCGCTATCACACTGTTGCTTAGCTACTCTAAAGCTATACAAATATTCAAGTTAAATATAGCACAGGCAACACTTTCATCTTGGAGCAAAGTCTAAACCCTGCTAATTCTAGGAGACAACCTTAGGAAATCTTCAGCACTTACAGGATTTCAACAAGCAACCTCTCGTTTTTACTTTCTATTTTCCACACTTCCCATAATTTTAACCAATGCCTAGAACCACTGTACTGGAATTCTGGGAAGTGTTTCCTTTTGTGAGGGGAACAAATATTGCCATTGCTCCCATGTGTTATTAAAGAGCAAAAGCTGGATGTGAAGGGAAATGGTTAAGTCTACTCAAAAGACTACAAATGTGAAGCATGAACACAACTTGCTAACAATA